TGACGGGTGACCAAGGCGGTGGTGCCAGAGGACAGTCTCGTGCGCCAGAGAGCGACACGAGCAGGGTCAGACAGCTGACCTGACGCAGACGCAGACGCAGCTACCTGAGGGGACTCAGTGGTCAGCGTGTACAGGTCCGACCCCGGCTGCCTAGTGAAGGTAGCCAGGTGACGGCCCGTCCGAGCACACGTGCAGTGTGTCACGCGCTCGTAGGCAGGGGTGAACTGGTGGACACCCCCGTCCTGGAGCGCACAGCCTGCCACCAAGTTCGTAGAGAACGAGGGGAGGTGGAGACCTGACAGTGTGCCCGACGGAACCGCAGGACAAGGATGGACAGTGGAGGAGGTCGCAATGACCGGACCCCCAGAGGGGTCAGCAAGGGAGACAGCAACTGGCCGAGCGAGCTGCTGAAGGGCAGTGCGGTCACGAAAGAAACAGCGAGAAGCTCCTGAGTCTAGAGTGAAGGTGTGCAGTGCCTTAGTGGACTCAGTACCAGGGGGCGCAGACGCACTAGCACCTAGAGCAGCAGCCTCACCAGCACCTGGGGCAGCAGACACGCGAGCACCTAGAGCAGCAGCCTCACTGGTGCGGATGCCCGGGTCGGGCTGAACACGCAGGTACTGGGCACTCTCTCCACTAGTAGACAACACATACATTGCAGTGAGAATAGCATCAAAGTCAAGAGCATAGATATCAATGTTCTTCTTCATCAGGTCAGCCCAGCGGGGCATCTCAGTGGCAGCAGGGAACTGAGTGCGCCAAGCGTCGTCCAGGCGGGAAAAGCAGCGCTGCGTGGTGTGCGCCCTCCCACACGTCTGGCCAGTGCGGTCACCAGTGCGGATGACGTACGTGCAGCTAAGGCCATCCCCCCCCCCCGTGCTGAGAGTACCACTCACGAACCTCCTGGGACGACGGAGTGTGCTGCTGGCTCTGGCCACCGCCAGTGCCTCCACGACCACCACCGCCGCCGCCACCACCTCGACCACCACCGCCCCTGCCGCCTCCGCGTCCACCGCCTCCCCACCCACCGCCCCCACCCCGGCCACCTCCCCCGCTGCCGCCGCCTCCACCCCCACCGCTGCCACTAGTCCCTCCAGCCCCGCCACCACCCCCACTGCCGCCACCGCCCCCACTCCCACCTCCCCCGCCGTCACCTCCACCTCCCTTGCCCCCTTTGCCCTTGCCGCTGCGGCGCCAGCTCGGAGCGGACGCAGTCCCGACCTGCTCAGTACCAACGAGGTCGACAGCAGCAGCAGAGGCGACAGAGGGGAGAAGGGGGGAAGGGGAACACCCCTCGAAGAACGGGGTGCGGGGGTCGCCACGAGAGGCACCTACAGCTACAATACTCTTCTCAGCTGCAAGCAGTTCCTTCTCGAGCAGATCAACGGTGAGCTCAGTGGGGCAGCGAGCTAGGAAGTGGTCCCTGAGTGCACGCAGAGTGTCAGGGAGGCGGGTGACTAGGTGGTAGAGAGTGAGCCAGAGCGGGGGGGGGTGGGTGGCAAGAAACTCAGCGGGCATAGCAGCACGGAAGCGGGCCTCACTAGTGCGGAGGTGCGTGATGAGGTCAGCGACTGTGTGGAAAGAGGACAGGTCGGGGAACAGGTAGGGGAGGGAGAGACGGCCTAGCGCAGCAGAGGCAGGTGAGGAGTAGCGTGCCACTACAGCAGTGTACAGTGCCTGTGCAGTTTTGTGCTGGCCAAAGTGCTCGCGCTCATCTACCGGCAGGGAGTTGCGAATAGCAAAGAGAGCGTGGGCGTCACGAGTCTGCCACTGGGAGCGTGCAGTACTGTCAGCAGTAACAGCAGGGGCAGCAGCGAGGCCTAGTGCGTGATCGTACAGCGAGATGTCCTCCTTGGCAGTGAGCTGGAGGAAGAGGTGCAAGTCATCTAGCCAGGTGTCAAACTTCAGTGGGCGGCCCTCAGCATCGAAAGCGAGTACAGCTGTGCTAGCCATAGTTGCAGGAAGAGCAGTGGTAACAGCAGGAACAGTAGTAGTAGTAGCAGCAGGCGAAACCCTAAAAGCAGCAGGCAGCACGACTCAGGTAGGACGGCTCGGTCCAGAGGGGGCTGCTCAGTACGGGGAGGGCGGCGCGGCTCGGTTCGGGCGGCGCGGCTCGGCTCGGGCTGGGCGGCTCGGTTCGGGCGGCTCGGTTCTGGCGGGGACGTGGCTGTCGCGTGCGGGGCTGCCGGGGCTGCTAGGTGGGGCGCGCGCGGGGTCGACGGGGCCGACGGGGCCTCTAGGTGGGGCGCGTGCGGGGTCGACGGGGCCGAGAGGGGCCGCTAAGGGGCGGCGCGCGGGGTCGACGGGGCCGACGGGGCCGCTAAGGGGGGCGGCGCGCTGGGTCGACGAGGCCGTAAGGGACCGCTAAGGGGCGGCGCGCGGGGTCGACGGGGCCGTGAGGGGCCGCTAAGGGGCGGCGCGCGGGGTCGACGGGGCCGTAAGGGGCCGCTAAGGGATGTCGCGCGGGGTCGACGGGGCCGTGAGGGGCCGCTAAGGGGCGGCGCGCGGGGTCGACGGGGCCGTACGGGGCCGCTTAAGGGGCGGCGCGCGAGGTCGACGGGGCCGTAAGGGGCCTCTAAGGGGCAGCTCGCGGGGCCGACGGGGCCGCTAAGGGGCGGCGCGCTGGGTCGCGGGGCCTTACAGGGCCGCTAAAGAGGGGCGCACGAGGGCGCTAGGGGGAGGCGCTCGAGGGCGCTCCGACAGTAGGGCGCACGAGGGCGCTAGTAGGCAGTCAGTAGTGGTGGGCCCTAAAAAAAAATCGGTCCTAGCGGAGGACCTGCTCTGAAACCATGTCAGAAAGAAAGAAACAGGAATGGATGAACTAGCACAAAGTTGGGTACAAGTAGGAAACCCTAAGTTTGTGTACCCCCTAAGGCTAAACCCACTATAGCCTACACAATGTAAACATACATTGTTTGACATACGCCACATTCAAAGGGCGGTTAAACATCTGACGCGCTCTCTGCTGCGAGCCTGCGCGCCCTGTCGCGCCTTGCCGCGCTCGCTGCGAGCCTGCCGTGCGCCCTACCACGTCTTGCCGCGCGCCCGCCGTTGCGCCCTGCAGCCGTGATTGTCGCACGCTTTGTTGTCGCGCCTACCACTGGGGTTTATCTATGCCTGCATGCCTCTGAATGTCCTGTGATAGACACTACTCAGCTTCTGTAGCTGTGCCCCTACCTACTCCTATCACGGTGTCCGGGTTCGTACTGCGGCTCGATGTCGGCATACCCAACGTCAGGACAACGTCTGCATGTACGCCCATATTTTGAATGAGTTGCCTGCCCCACAATGTCCCCGTACCCTTACTGCTGAGCCCACCTTGGGGAGCAGGAGGGCTCACAGCGTGGTCCAGCTTGCATACCCGATTTGGATCGTGTGACGCTACTGTGTGCCTTGATCTTGTTCGCCTCCAGTGGTAGGGGCGCGTCGGTAAGGCGCAAGTGGGGCCGCTAAAGGGGCCAAGAACGGGGCGACACAAAAAAGCTGCAGATCATGCCAAGTAGGAAAACGCGCCCCATTAAATAGCGCCACCGTAGTTACAAGGGGAGTCCAAACCTGCTCCTAAACCTCAAAAGTGGGTTTGGGAGATATTGGACTAGGAAGTTGCGAGAGAGAAAGGGCGTTGGATTAGAAATAAAAAAAACCAGGAAATACAAGCAAGGCAAGGGTGCACCGCCAGCAGATGTAATATAACGAGTTACACTACATTGTGATGTAAGCAGATTATATATCAAATATATATATTTTTGACAGTTATACCATGCAAAGTAAATAATACATGTGTAGAGACAAACATAAAGCTTAATGATAAAGTTGGTATACCTATGTGTACAACTTTGTTGAAGAAACCGCCTCAACAGCTGCACAATTAGGCCTTTTGACGAGTCGCTACTCGATTAGCGACATTGACAAAAGACGGACGACGCATTAACGAATTTTGTCATTTCAGCGTCGACGTGCGAGACCAACCGAACCGCCTTCGCTCTTTCCGAGTCCAAAAATGCCCTGGGCGCGAAACTTTCATTTGTGTCAGGTTGTGCTTGTGAGGCTTGCTGCTGGCTCGAGATAAACCAAGGGGCGATGCGGAGTTTCCCTAAAGTCCACGCCATGTCATCAAGTCGGCATCCCATCAAACCCGAAAGAATCACGACCTTCGTGCCGAACCGCGCATCCATTCGAGGACACCAAGACTTTCCAGCATGCCCGAAGTTTAGCTGGATCTAGTTACCACAATCTACCAGCCTTCGCCTATTCATGTCCTTACGTTTCTCAACGCAGGGAGGTTTCGTGGTGCGCGATCGCCCACGGGCCACGGTTCTTACTAGCACGATTCGCATCGAACACAGCCTTTTCGCCGTCTTTCGTGAATCCTCACCTTACCATTTCAAGGGACATTCTCGACAGTGCCGCCTCAGATTCAGCTGCCCGAAGTGTTGTTGAAGGAAAGGGAAACAGTGATGGATGGCGTGTGGGATGGGATGGGACGGACGGATGTAACATTCACCGCTGCATCAGCAGCAGTTACGCCAATGGACGAACCAACCCAATTGCAGGGCTGGCTTTCTTTCGAGCTTCCCCAAGCCCAGATCTGCCCTCTATGATGCAAGGGTCTCTCTCAGCAACATAGCGCTGCGTACAGCTTGATGTGCTTGTTTTCTGGAGATTGCAGCCAACAGTTCCCCACAAAACCGAATGACATAGAGACAACACTAACTCAAACCTTCGAATCAGTCAGATTCTTTCGGGATCGTCAAGTAGCTTCATCAACGTACCGAATTCTCCGCGGCTTATTCATGGGTGGTGTCAGTAACGGGCTGCGAGATCTAAGGAACGGCAGATCTTTCGAGTGGCACGATAGTTTCATCTAACCCTCGCCTGTGTAGCTAGGATCCATAGGAGACCCAGCGATAGCACGGCTTGAACGTCACGCTACTGTCCCGTCGCGAACGGTTTCCATCCGCAATCAGGAAAACATAATAATATCCGGATAATTCCACCAGATGGCCCCGAAGGTCCTCCCCTCCGCACCGGACGGCGCGCTCGCGCACTATGAGATGGGCGAGCGGCTCGGGAAAGGCTCTTTCGGCGTGGTGCACGAGTGCCGCAACCGCCACACGGGTTTCCAATACGCGTGCAAGATCATCGACAAGAAACAACTGCGCGACGACGCCGACGCGGAGGACGTGCGCCGCGAAGTGCGCCTCCTAGCGCGGCTCGCCGGCCACCCGAACGTCGTCGAGCTGCAAGACGTGTACGAGGACGACGGCCACGTGTACTTAATCATGGAGCTCTGTTCCGGTGGGGATCTGTTCGACGAGATTAAGCGGCACGGGCCGTTCGCGGAGGAAGACGCGCGCGCGATTTTCCGCCAGCTCGCGACGTCCATGGCGTATTGCCACGCGCAGGGCATCATGCATCGGGATATCAAGCCGGAGAACGTGCTTCTGCTCGCGCCCACTGGGCGCCCGCCGGTCACGCCGCAGCCTGCGCTCGGAGGGGAGCAGGCTGGAGCGGATAGCAAGGGGAAGGCGGAGGGAACGGCTGTAGTTTCCGCGCAAGGGCAAGAGCAGGGGCAGGGGAAGGGGCAGGGGCACGGGCAGAGTCCTAGTCAGGCACTGGGGCCCGTGATTCGACACTTGAACCTCGGGTTCCTCGGTTCGTCGGCTCCCGTGCCGATGGCGCGAGGCGGAGTGGCGAAACTCGCCGATTTCGGGCTGGCGATGGAGTTACCACCAGGGGAGTCCGCGGCGGGGCTTACGGGCAGCAGGTACTACACGGCGCCGGAAATGGTGCGCGGGAGGCGGTACGGGAAGCGCGCCGATGTGTGGTCCATGGGCGTCGTGCTGTGCACGTTGCTCACGGGACGCCTGCCGTTTGCGGGTAAGACGCATAACGACGACGAGGGCTTGCGGAAGTCGATCCTCCGCGGGGCGATCAATTTCGAAGCGGCCGTCTGGCGGAGCGTCTCGCCGTCAGCTCGCGACCTCGTCCGGCAGATGCTGACGGTCGACCCGCGCTGCCGGCTGAAAGCGAAGCACGTGGTTGACCATCCATGGCTGCTTTCTGTTGCCTGTCCCCCGCGGCTCACGTCGACATCCCTCGTGCCGAAAGGAAGGGGGATACCGCTTTCGGAGCTCTGCAACAGCGCAGCGCTTGCGGCAGCGGCTGCGGCGGCGGCGGCGGCGGGATTGATGATTGCGGAGGCTGGGGCGGGGTTAGAACCGGAAGGGGCGAAGGCAGGCGCAAAGGTGGCGGATGAGGGGACGGATTTGACGGGAAGCGAGAAGGAAAGCCATTTCGCAAAGGTGGTTCCCGAAGTGTCTGGTGCTGCTCCTGTCCTTGCGGCGACAAACGCAGCGGCGAATGCTGTTGCCGCGTGGCAGGAGGAGGAGCAGCAGCAGCACAGGCAGAAGCTACAGCAGCAGCTGAAACAGCTGCGGGCGCGCAAGGAGAAACACCACCATCATCATCAGCAGCAGCAGCAGTCACGGTCCCCAGCTGGCTCACCGAAAAAGGTTGTGCCTATTCTCCCGCCACCTCCCGTTCTCGTCCCCGCAAGTCCCGGCTCCCCCAGTGGCTCCGAAGGAAGCGCGGGTGAGGACGACGACGACGGCTCGTATTCGCCGGACTACGGACCAATCGGAAGCATCCCGCCGTCGCCTCCGGGCGAGCCGCTCCCCATGCCCAGCCGCCCCTGCTCCCCCCTTCCCGGGCGCAACTCCCGCTCGCGCAAGCCAGGCACGCCCAGGAGCTTCCGCCGCGCGCTGTTTCCGCCAGGAGGGGGGTCTGGCGCAGCAGCGGGAGTTGGCGGGTCAACGCGGGGCGGAGGGAAGGTGGGTGCGGGGGCTAGCGGAGGGCCTGTGCGGGGCGCGGGGATGGGTGGTGCTGGCGGTGCTGGTGGTGGTGGCGGTGCTGGCGATGGTGGTGGAAGGGGAGGGGGCGTTTCAGGTTCTTGGCTTGTGCCAAACACCCCCCCTGCTGCGTCGTCACCCTTGGTTCTCAGGCTGCTGGGTTCGGGTCAGGGTAAAGGTGCTGGAGCAGCAACGGGACGGCAGGGAGTGGGCGCAGGTGCAGTGGCAGGAGCGGGAAGAGATCGGGGGGGAGCAGCAGCGGGTAGAGAGCGAGTGGAAGGTGCCAGTCAAATCAAGCTAAGCTCAGCAGCGGCTGCTGCTGCAGTGGAAAATGCCATTGCGGTGGTAGAAAGTTCCATTGCGGTGGGAGGGATGGAAGGAGGAGACGTGGGAGGGGCAGGGAAGGCAGCAGGGGAGGTGGGAGTGGGGTGCACCAGTGCTGCTTCTGGGTCGGAGACTGGTGGTTTGTCTGGATGGCTGGCAGGGGAGGAGATGGCGATGCTGCGAGCTCTGGAGGAGAGACTGAGCAGGCTCGAGGCGTGCAGGGCCATGTTCATGCCTCCTGCTGTTGCTGTTGCTGCTACTGGTGGGACGGGCAGAAGGCAGGGCTGTTGAGCATGAGATGGATGGAGTGTGGGGTTGCTCAGTGATGTGAGAAGAGAAAATCAACCTCACCTCCCACTCTTCCACATGATCCCTTTCCCCACTCGTCCCCCCCGCCTCAACTCACCACCACCATCACCACCACGACCTCCACCACTCCTTCCATCTATACGTGTAGTCTCCTGCTGTCCTGACTTGTGGCTTGTCACTACTGTCACAAAATGGTAGTGAGACCGTACACCACCATCATGTGGATATGCACATGCAGGCGATGTATGGTATGGAATGAGAATCCTTGCCAATCAATTCCGTTCATAGATGGATAGTGCTAGATAGATAGAGATGGAGATGGTCGTGGGGCATTGTCTTGTTAGGGGGTTCGCAATACCTTTAGTTTTGTTAGTCAAAGATGTTATGCGCTAGGCTATGTCTACATGTGCTGTGGCAGGCGGTAGCCAGCTGGTTAGATTTCTATATGCTTTCATCACAAGTGTACCTTAATATAAAGTTTGCTATTGTGACTTGGTTTTTCATGCTTGTTCTAGTTTACGAGGACGAGAACTTGAAGTGTTGTACCATGCTGAGGCGTTTTTTGGGAGTTCTAGGGCTGCAGTCTTGTGGTGGGTTACTACGTGGGAGCTTAACAGGAAATATTTTGAAGCGAAACAATAATGTTGTATGCTTGAGGCTCTTCTTCCCACGCGCACGGAAAGGAGCTTATAGCGAGGTACGAACTTGCCACGGCAAGCCCAAGGAAAACCCCAAGCCAATCCCGTGGCCCATCGTACGGCTGAAATTGGATGTAGCAAAAATAGTCCTGTCCCGTGGCCCGGCCCCAGCCCCAGCCCCAGCCCCAGCCCCAGCCCCAGCCCCAGCCCCAGCAGATGTCATGGCATGGTGCCACCACCAAAACTTCACTCCACAATCAGCATATGATTCCAACCACTCACTCTCCCATGGAATGACGATTATTGCTCGTCCAAGCCGCTCAGGCGGCTTACAGACTTGACGTTCTTAGAACGTCAGATTTTTCTCAACTTTGTGAGCTGCTATCTGGCGGCGTTTGACTGAGTCGCGAGCCGCGACGTGCGGACGTGAAGGCACGTCGGATCGTTTGGATCTGTGAACCATTCATTTTGTTCCTTTCAAGTCGTAGGAAATTAAATCGGCTGCGGATTTCTATCATAGGTCACACGGTAAGAACGAAATTGAGTGACTTCGGTGCCAGGGTTGGTTGAATCAGGTTATTGACAAGTGAAGGGAAGTTACAGACGCAATGGAAGGAAGATGCCAGGTGACAGACAGGTGGAAGATAGTTGTGAGGTTTCAGGTGGAGGATAGATGTCAAGTGAAGATGACAGATACGGATCAGTGAGGGTTGTGGTCGACTTGAGATAAGAGACGGTTCTGTGAGTTATCACGGACCCACAGTCCCCGTGAGCCCGTGAGACCTCAAAGTCCTGTTACGCAAGCTTCGATCAATGGCTCGCCTATGATGAGGGCGCGTACGTGAGACGGATCGGAAGGGGGTGGATGGGGAGAAATGGAGGGGTAGAGGTGAAGGGGTAGTGAAGGATGCGAGGGGGTGGGGGGGGGTGGGGGAAGATGGAGCGTGGGAAAAGAGAAGGACTGGCATCCAACCATTCGCGCTATATATTTTCGAATCAGCGATCGCTTGCCTGAACTGGCGTAGTCGTACCTGTTAGCCTGGTTCGGTCTAGCTTAGCCTTGTTCTCTTTCATCAAGTTTGTCTGGTAGGTATCGGCCAGCGTCATTCACGGATCGTCCCTCTCGCATCGTCACTTTTCAACCATGCGTCTACAGTAATCGATCATATTTGATTAAGCGCATACCGCCTACTATTACGACAACGATCATCTCTTTTTTTTCCACACGTCAACCACTTACCTCCACGCAAGATTCACCTGATTTTTCACATGATCTAGCATCCATTATCCGCTATAACCGCCAGCTATTACCACCCACTAGTACCACCTGAAGAGTTCCTGGTCGATTATGCTGCGTATCGATTTCCGGCCCTAGTTGTCTCGCTCAGTTCTCCTCAATTTCGCATCTACCTACTCACTTTTCCTCTTCGCCTTCCCCATTGCCCTCCCTTATTCCCACCATCCAGCAGCAGCAGCAGCAGCAGCAGCAGCAGCAGCAGCAACAGCAGCCATGGCTCTCGGACCATCCGATGCATCTCCTCCTCCTCCCTCCCACACTTCCCCCACGCACTCCTCTATCGATTCCCCCAGTCCTCCGCCCTCCGCCGTTCCCCCTGGCGACAGCACCTCCGCTCCTTCCGCGCTGCCTCACAGCCCGGACACAGCCAATGGGAGCGACAAGGAGGATGATATGGTGCTACAGCCGTTGGTTGACTATGGTAATATGGACGACTGGGATGAGGATGCTGACGTGGAGGATGAGCTCCTAAGGCCAGCTGTTGAACGGGTTAGCGATTCGCCCTCCCGCCCTCCTCATTCCCCCTTGCCTGCTGCGGAAACGAAAGGGGGAGAAGGAGAGGGGAGGAAAGGGGGAGATGGGGAGAGGGAGGAAGGTGCGAGGAAGGGCGGAGAGGAGCGGGGCGAGGGAGAGGAGGGTGAGAAGGACGGGGAGAGGAGAATCAGCGAAGAAGAAGGGAGGAGCGGCGGGGAGGGGAGGGCGGAGAGGGACAGAGGAGACAGAGGAGACAGAGGGGAGAGAGTGCATCAAGTGGATGAGTTTGGAAGGGTCGTGCGGAAGGGAGAGGGGAGTGAGAGCGATGATGATGCAAGAGACGTGAGGAAAGGGAGGAGGAGGAGGAGCAGGAGCGCGGAGAGGCATCGTTCAAAGAAAAGAAGCAGGAGCAGGAGCAGGGGGAAGGGCAGAAGGAGAAGCAGGAGCAGGAGCAGGAGTCGGAGCAGGAGCAGAGGGAGAGGGAGAGGGAGGAGTAGAAGCAGAAGCAGGAGCCGAGGGCGCGATGCAGGTGGGGAGGAGAGAGGGAGGCAAGGCGGCTCACCTGATGGCAGCAGCAGGAGAAGGTCTGTTCGCTCTCCCTCTCATTCCCCCTTCCCCCGCCCAACCGTCCACTCCTCCTGCCGTCTCTTTTTCTCTCGAATGGTCTTCTATTTCTATCTCTCTCTTTCGCACGCACATCCTAGCCCTTACCTCTGGCAACCTGCTCTCTCTGCTCTCCCTTCATGACACCTCCCTCCCATCCTCCCTCCCCTCGCCATCTGTCTGCGGGCTCCGTTCCTCGTCTTTCCTCGCCCCATATCTTCGTATGTGCCCCACTAGTTCATCATATCAAATGTGTCCATTGCACAGTACCATACCATTCCGCACTTTCCCTTCCCAACTCCCTGTATCCGCCTTAAAGAAATGCATTCGGTTCTTTATTGTCCGCTGCACCTGTCCCCCTTCCGAGTCCATCTCTGTCCGCCGTAGCATCTGCGCCCGCTCAGGCATATACCCCCTCACCCCCCTCCCCCTTCCCCCCCCCCTCCCCCTCCCCCCCCCCCACACACATCTCCGGCCCCTTTCTCCGCTTGTGTCTCCCCTCCGCTCCCTTCCCGCCTCAGCCCTTCCCCCAATGGCAGTCGGCCCCGGGAGGGGAGGGCGCGGGGAGGAGGAACGCGCGTTTCGCGCTGGGGTGAGGGTGGCGGGGAGCAGCCTAAGGAGCAGGGGAAGGAGCAGGAGCAGAACGAGGAGCAGGGTCAGGACGAGAGTCGGTGGGAGGAGGGCAGGTGGGACGAGGAAGAGGATGAGGAGCGGGCGCAGAGGGGAGGGAGAGGCAGGAGGGAGGGGGAAGAGGATGACAGGAGGGAAAGACTTGAAAGGGGGAGGAGGGAAGGATGGGAAAGTAAGGAAGGGCGGCGGGAATGGAAAGGCAGCCAACGGGAAGACAGAAATGAGCGGGGAAGGGAGAGGGAGAGGGAGAGGGGGAGGGAGAGGGAGAGGCATATGGAGAAGGGGGAGGAGTGGGAGAAGGAGCAAAGAGGAGGGTCGGAGAGGGATAGGAGGGATGGTGGGAGAGAGTGGGGAAGTGCAGGAAGAGAGAGGGAAGAAGGTGGAAGAGGACGAGAGGGGAGGAGATCTGGGGACAGTGACAGGGACGGAGAGTATTGGAAGGAAGGGCAACTGAACGGGAGGGAAAGGCGGAGAGAAGGGGGAAGAGAAGGGGGGAGAGAAGCAGGGAGAGGGCGGTCCAGTGGTTGGGATGAAGGTGGGAGGTTGTCAAAAGGTGGTGAAGCAGAAGGAGCAGGTGCCATTGCGCCTTTGAAGGGACCTACAGGTGAGGATAGTGCTGCAATGATTGCTGCCGCAGGAGCGGTTGCTGCAAGGTTCGCTGCTGCTAAAGCTGCTGCTGCTGGGATTGTTGCTGCAGCAGGTGAAAACACAGGGGGGTCGGTCTTGGAGGGAGGGCGTCAAGACAAGCAGGAAGGGAAGGAAGAGAAGGATGAGTGGGGAGGGCAAGCAGCAGCAAGTGGAGCACGGAAATGGGCCTCTAAATGGGATAAGACTGGCGGAACCGGTGCTGCTAGTGCTGCTGCTCCCAATGTTGCTGCCCCTGCCCCTTCTGTATCTGCTGCCTCTGCCTCTGCCCCTGCTGCTTCTACCCCTGCACCGTTTCCACTGCCCGGCCAGCCACAACCCCATCACCAGGAATCATCCTCTGCCCCCCCGTTCAACCAGCAGCCTCCTTTCAGGCCTCCCTTTCCTCCTGCTCCTGCCTCTCATCCCCCTTTTGGCGCCGCCCCTCCTCCTCACGCTAACAACTATCCTCCGGGACCATTTCCCCAGCAGCAGCAGCAGCAGCAGCAGCAGCAGCACCCCAACTACCCGCAGCAGCAGCAGCACCCCAACTACCCGCAGCAGCAGGGGCAGGGATACAGGCATGGGCAGGGACAGTGGCCCGGGCAGGGGCAGGAGCAAGGTCCCCCATGGGCCCCCCATGCGCCTCCACTTCCGCCTGTTCCCCCTCCCCCGCTGCAGCCTCCGCCTAGTAACCCCCCTCCCCCGCTGCAGCCTCCCCCTCCCCTTCCCCCGACCCCCCCGCCCCCTATGCATGGGGCGCAGCAGCAGCATCTCCCCCAGCAAGCGCTCGGGGGATGGCCCCAAGGCCAGCTGGGGGGGGGAGCGGGCGGATCAGGGGGGAGAACGGGGGGAGGAACAGGGGGAGGGGTTGCATCGGAGGAGTATGACCCTCTGGCTGATTGCATGGACTTGGGGGATGGGGAAGAGAGTGTAGGAGGGCCGTGGCACCAGGGACAGCAACAGCAGCAGCAGCAGCAGCAGCAACAGGGCGGTCCAGTGCCACCTCTTACCCACCAGTTTCCATGGCATTCTCAGCCTTTCGGGGGCTCTTATACCAACAATTCTGGCCCCCAACCCCATTTGCCAGGCCAGCCTCAGTCTGCCATGGCTCCTCAGTTCTCTCAACAGCTGCCTCCTCCCCCTCCTCCGCCTCCCCTCCTGCCACCAGCAGCACATGCGAACCCCCCTCTTGCTCCAACCAACTCAACCACCAGCACCAGTGCCCCTCTCCATGCTTCTTCCTTTCCGCAGCTGCCCGGTGCCCCCGCCCACCCGTCTCTCTCCGCATCTGGCCTCTCCCCTGCCTTAGCTACTGCCCTAGCAAATGCCGCGGCTGTTGTGGCTGCAGTAGCTGTGCCAGCAGGAGCGTCAGGCTCGTCTTTTGCTCCTGCTGTGACAGCAGGGTCAGGGGCAGGCGGAGGGGCAGCCGCAGCAGCAGCAGGAGGAGGAGGAACAGAAACTTCTCAGCTTTCGTTGGCTATGCTGCCGCTGCCGCCGCTGCCACCGCTGCCACCACTGCCAGCATCACCACCCGTTGAGAGTGAGCCGGAAGATGTGCCTGGGGCCGAGAATGGTGGGGCATCCTCTGACGAGAAGGGCAAGTCAGAGGACGATGTGTCTATGGAAGTTGATGGGAGGGATGAGGACGAGAAAGACACTCAGGAGGATGTGACTGGGCGGGAGAAAGGCAAGGGCGGTGAGAAGCGGAGATCTGGGAAGAAGGAAGGGAAGAGTGGGAGCAAGCATGGGAGCCGCAGCGGTGCGGGAGGAGGAGGCGGAGGAGGGGGGGAGGAGAAAGGGGGCGATGGGAAGAGTAAGAGCGGGTTGAGCAGCAAGCAGGCTCTGCTGAGAGTGGGGGTTGCGGAAGTGGTAAAGGAGGCGCTAAAGCCTGCGTGGAAGGAGAGGGGGCTGTCTCGGGAGATGTACAAGATGATTGCGAAAAAGGCTGTTGAGAAGGTGGTGGGGGCGGTGCAGGAGAAGCACCTGCCGAAGAATGAGAAGCAGGTGCAGGCGTATCTGAGCGAGCACAGGAAGGAGCGGATCACGTCGCTTGTCCAGGTGCGTGCGTGGGTGGGTGCTGTTGGTGCAGTGGGGTTTTGTTGTGGGTTACTTGCGTGGGGGCTTTTGGTGGGCCCACCTTGGTTGGGAGTTGTGTGTGGTTTTCCTGGATATGGGGGCTTTGGGGTGAGGCTCTATTAAGTTAGTAAAAAGGGAGAAAAGGGTGGGAAATATGGCTCTGTGAGGACAGTGTTATAACCTGGTGCTCTTGCATCCATGCCCATAGGGGCTTGTAGGTGCGTGGACAGCTGAGTGAAGAGGCTTGCTGTGGGTACATGCACACATTTAGTCAGTCCTTTGTTGGTCTTTCACTGTTTTATGACTTCACCGTACCCCACCAATTCCTCTTCTCATCCCTCTATCCCTGTGACACCCATGTAACCCATGACCATACTCAACGACCCTTCTTCCCCCCTGCCCATCTCGTGTACTGTACTGCCCGCCTTTCACAGGCCTATGTGGACAAGTACAAAAAGGGTTGACACATGGGATGGGAGGATGGATGTACGGTATGATTGATGGGCAAATGGTTTTGCTGTAATGATGCATGTGGGTCATACAGTATTTTTTCTTGGTGGAACTCATGCCTAGTAGACCAATTTTTTGTACAAGGATTTTAACCAATTTCATGCACTTCTTTGCCTGTCAGTCAGCACATAGGGCTTCATTTCTTTGAGGAGAATTGTAGACAGGAGGTGCAAGCAGTTATCTGTAGACAGGAGAGGACACCGAAGAGAGGGGTGAAGTCCTAGTGGTTGATTTCAAATGATTTGTGTTATAGATTCGAGCAAGCAGGCTGGACATCAAGAAGCTCAGAAGTGTTGCATTGTGCAGATCCACTATTGTATAGCATCCATAGTGGGGTGTATGCCACTTCATTGTACAATGCTGCTTCATGTGGGGTTACTTGAGTCATGTTGTACAATATGAATCAGAGCGGAAAGGTATTCTCAAGTTTAAGGGTGAAGAAAGCAAGTGTAACTTGTAAATCCTCATTGTTTGAGTGAAGGAAAGAGCCGGTCGTGGTTGTTCCCAATCCAACTGAACTTTGCGCACGAAACCTCTTTCACGTACATGCACCTCCCGCTACAACTGGTCACTATAGCGAAGAGCCGCAACACAAGCCCAAGAGTTGTCCTGTGCAGTAACGGGGGTGGTGGTGCGCTGTGGGAGGGGGGTGGGTGGGTGTGTGGAGTGTGTAACGGAAAGGGGAATCTGTACAGTGCTGTACATTGGTGGGAGAGAGGACAGAGAAGAGGGGAGAGCGGGGAGGGGATTGGCGTTCAACAAGAACAGATCGAGGGGTGAAGGGAAGGGAAGGGAGGGAAGGAGGAAGCCTGCTCGTGGTGAGTGAGAGGTAGCCTACACGCATCGGGTCGGGAGGGAGTCGGGAGGGACTCGGGACGGGACTCGCGGGTGCTTGTGCCTGTGTTGAGTGTGAGAGCTGCTGCGTAGCTGCGTCGGACGGCTCGTGTGTTGTACTGTATGGGTCTTGTGGGTTAGTTGTGGTCCGAGGAGTTCAATCGGGCGACGCAAGAGTTCTCGCGGTTAGTGATTATGAACTTGACCTGAAATAATGCTTTCGAGTCTACCGTCTACCTACAATTGGATCAGCAGCTACGAATAATAACTGGAACAACCCCCGCAATGTCGTACCAATACCACTGCGTAGCAGCAAGAAAAATGGCGCTTTGTCCGCGCATACGCTATGCGCTGTCCTAGCAGGTCTGGCTCTAGAAGCTCTGTCGTCCAGCGAAAGAAGGAACCGAACGTGCGTATCAATGGCGGTAGGCGTCATCTCGAGCTAAGGAAGGGACCGTACGTGCGTACTAGTGGTGGCGAGACGAGCGTTAGGTCGAGGCAAGGAAGGAACTGCGTGAAAAGCGCACGGCTCCATTCTAGTCCACGTTAGGTCAAGCGCACCCGGAAGCTCCTCGCGCCGCAGCCGCTTCTCTCTTCTACTCCACACGAGCGCGTGGGTGCGTCGTTTTGATTATTTTCTACTCCCCCTCGTCGAGCCGCGACCTAGCTAGCTCGCCGTCCGCCTATCGCGCCAGCTCTTGTCTTCCCAGCTCTAGCTGTGTAGCCTCTAGTCTCACCAACACTAGCTCTAGTTCTCTCAAGAGGCCGACACGTCTGTGTCGGCTACAGGGCAGCTGACAGCGCACCTGCCGGTTTCACGGTAATTGAAGTTTGTTACCCGCAACGGACGCTTCGTCCCGTCGGCTAGGCGTTCTGAAATGGCTGCAGAAACGGCTGCGGGAATGGCAGGTCAGGTGACTTCAGAGATGTCTTTAAACGCAACTGCTGCTTCCGTCCCAGCGAACGTGACTCAAACTGACGGGGCATCAGCGCCGGCGGTGACGCCGGCATCGGCGGAAGTGGAGGAAGCGGCAGCGGCGGCGGCGGCTGCTGTGCCGGCCGCTTCCGCAGGCCCGTTAGAAGACGCGGAAACCGCGGCACGGGCCGATGCGCAAGCGTCAGCGCAAACCCTCACGACAGCCGATGCTGAGGGAAGTGTCGAGTCGGCAACTGCGAATAACATGCAAGAAGGGTCGAGCTCGTCCGTAAGTCTTCCAAATAACGGCGTACCGGCTTTAATCTCCGTAGAAACCACACCGACCTCCAGTGAGCCGTTACCCGCTTCCTCCCCGTCAGTTGCGGAGCCTCTCGCGCCCGACGACGCTGCCGCGCGCGCAGATGCGCCTGCACCCGACCGCGCAACGACGGCTGCTGCGCCGGACGAAGCGGCGGACCAGGTTCCGCCGGCCGGTACGCCGAAAGACGCGCTCTCCGCGGCGGCGGCGGGGGGGGCCGCTGGCGGAAAGGGGAAGATGGCGCGGTGGCGGGGGAAGAAAGAGATCGTGGTCGGGCGGCAGGCGGTGCGGCGCCCGCGGGTAGGCGGCGGACATAGCGGCTCGTGGGACGTAACTCAGGGTGCACCGGGAAAGGACCCCCACCACCAGCAGCAGCCTACTATGCAATTCACTTACCGCTTTAACGTCGGGAAGAAACTAGGAGAGGGAGGCTACGGGCTCGTAGAGACGTGTAACGACACGACGGGAGAGCTCGGCGCGGGACCGCTAGCCGTTAAGACCATTTCCAAGGAGGCGCTTTACGCGGACTGTCAGCGGCTCGAGGACTTCGAGGCGCGCCGCATCGCGTTGGCGCGCGAGGTGGACGTAATGAATCGCGTGCGCGGGCACGAGCACGTGGTGCAAGTTAAGAAAGTGTATAACAACAGCGAGCGCTTGCGCGTCGTCATGGAGATGTGCGAGGCGGGAAACCTTTTAGAGCACCTCGCGGCGCGGATCGAGCTCCTGAGGCAAGAGCGAGGAAGCTTCGGCAGCGTCGGCGGGTTCTTCGGCTCCAGCGGCGGCGGCGGCGGCGGCATCGGCGGGTTCGTCTTCGGCAGTGGAGGCGGAAGCAGCGGCGGCGGTGGAACAGGCGGGCGGGGCGCGCGCGGCGGGCGCGGCCCGTGGGCGGGCGGGCTCCCGGAGAACGAAGCGGCGATATTATTTAAACAGCTAGTGGAGGGCGTCGCGTTCTGCCACCGGCGGCGCGTGCTGCATCGCGACGTGAAGCTGGAAAACGCGCTTCTCTCGCTGCCCACGGGGCGGCCGGCGGAGGCGGACGACCTGGAAGCGGAACTGCGCATGGTCTCCGCGGACATGGCGCAAGGGGGGAACGATGCGGCGAGGGGGGGAACGGGGGGAGCGGGCGGAGCAGGGGGAGCGGGCGGGAATGGGCGGGGGCAAGGAGACGAGGGGGTGCTGTCGGGGGGGAGCACAACGCCTACGACAGCCAGTCCGCACCAGCGCCACCACCACCACCACCACTTTAACCTCTTCAGTATCCTTCCCCAGGGCGCGCGGTCCCCTGCGCCCAAATCCCCCGCTGCTGATAAGTCCCCCAGGCTAAAATCCCCTGATAACTTGCCTCCTGCTGCCGCTGGTGCTGCGGGCGCGTTCGGGCGTTCCGCCTCCGCGCCAGGACCCCCGCCCAAATCCCCCATCAACGCGCGCCCGCCGCGCTCCCCGCGCCTCGCGGCGCCCATCCCGCCGTCCCCCTCGGAGTCCGCCGCACCCTCCCCCGCCGCGATCGCCGCCGCCGTGTCCGCCGGGTCGTCCGCCGTCTCCCTTGGCCTCGTGGTCAAGCTAGCCGATTTCGGATTCGCTATGGTACTTCGTGATGGGGAAACAGCCTCGGGAACATGTGGCACTCCTGGTTACATGGCGCCTGAGTTAGTATCCGAGGAGAAATATTCTTTCCCGGTGGATATCTGGAGCCTAGGGGTTGTCCTACACGCGTTACTTTTCGGCGAGTTACCGCATTACCACGAGCCGCGCGACGTGGTTACCGAGGGCGTGCCGCGCCCGTCTGCCCGGAAATGGAAAGTTATTTCGGAAGCTGCCCAGGAGCTGCACCAATCAATTCTCCAGCTGGACCCCTCCAAGCGGCCGACAGCAGCGGAGATTCTGAAACACCCGTGGTTTGAGCAGGCTGAAGCGGCTCTGGTGGCAGGTGAAGGGGCAGAGGCTGGGGGGGGAGCAGCGGGGGACAGAGACGGGTCAATTGGTACCAAGAGCGGGCGAATGAAGAGTGCGAGAGCAGCGAGCGGGAGGGTGAAATCCGGACGGAATATGGACTTTCTGGGGATGAAGGCGGGTGGGGGGAAGGAGGGCGCAGGAGGGGGAGGAGGAGGAGCCGAGGGGGACGACAAGGGTTCGATTTCTTCCCCTCCTGCTTCTCCGCGTGTGGTGGTGCTTAGGCTGAAGCTGGGAGCCAGGAATCTGGCTCTTAGGTTTAAGTACGGTTTTATTCCCACTTCAGGTCCTCCTAAGAAGCATGGCCAGACAGAGGAGGATGAGGAGGGGAAAGGAGGGAAGGAGGATAAGGGGATTGTGGCTTGACAGGGTTGTGTGGTAAAGAGTGCTAGGCCGATGAGTGGTGGCTGGTGGGAATGGTGGGAGTGGGTAGAAAGTGGTGGAGAGCGGTGGGGATGAATAAAGAGCAAAGTGACTGCTGTTCACAGTATCGCTAACCACAGGCACTGGCGCTTGCACTGGCACAGGGCCTGTGCAGGGTGCACGCGCACTCGCACTGGGACAGTCACCAGAGGGGAGGTTAGGGTTGTGGGAAGGGTGATTCAAAAGTGGGGGTGCCAAGAAATAGGCTTTAGTGGGACTACAAACAAAGGTATTGTGTTTTCAGGGTTGTGAATTGTCCCCTTTTTTTTCTCCATATTTTTCTTTTCCTTTTTCTGAGGGCAGGTTCCTCCCGGGTGGTCAAACGCCAGCGTGTATGTACAAGCGCTGGTGTTTACTGTAGATGAAATGAAACGCTCTTACTTAGCTCAACACGAACCCCCGGCCCAGCAGAGCGGCAGCGGTTGGGAGGGACACAGGATGGGATGCGTGATCTGAGTACCGTACTATGGAATTATTGTATGGATGTGGTAGTGGTACTGTACTTGTTGAATCAGTGGCTGCTTGTGACAAAAGCAACTAAATACTGCTCATTGTTCTCTGTAGCCTCTCCATGGTCCTGTGCTTCCATTTCTTGCTTGACATGACAAGTGTACAAAAGTGAACCAAATCTGTTATGAATGAACTTGCAGAGTGCGCAGTAAAACGAATAACGAGAATGTTGAACTACAGAATTACTGAATGAAGGAACAATGAGGTGGCGAGGCCTAAATAGGGGAAAACCTATCTAGGCGGGGGATTCGGTTTGGGATGGCTCGGTGATGGTTGCGATTGGAGCGGAGGCCGACTCGGGGGTGGCTCGGTGCGACGAAATAGGCCCAACAGGTTCGTCGCGTGACCCTCGGGATGGCCTCGCTAATGAGTGCCTCAGTAAGGATTTGTAAATCCTTACACTCTCCCACCTCCTAAATAAGGCAGCCTTGTACTGAAACAGGCCCCACACTAGCAAGGATTCCGTAGATCTCCTCTTCAGCTGAATCCGACGGCCGAAATGCCTTTGACAATCATTTTGAAAAGGTTGGAATGTAGGCCGTTGATGAAGTCCCATTTCGATCTGACGGTCGACGATGAACTGGCCCAAACTGAAGTAGAAGTTGGAATGTGGGCCGTTGATGAAGCAGATGTAAATCTGACGGTCGAAGACTGAAGCGAAAAGAGAGGGAACCTGCTGACGCGAATTCAAACGCGATTGAGCAGGGACCGTAGATCGTGTCGGTGTGATCGCGATCGTCCGTCTGACGCGTCCTGACAAAAGTCAAGAAGAAAGTCGAGATAACGCCAAGGAAAGGAAACAGTGCAACGCACTTTCTCCCCCCCTCCAAGAAAACTGACCAAAATGTTTCCCGCACCTTCGCCGAGATGAAAATCAACAAAAAAAAAAAAAAAAAACAGGTGTTAAGTCCCACGAAGAAGTGCGTAGAGCGTAGAAGGCCAGGTGAAATTGGGTCGGTGTTGAAACTCGATGACGAAACCAGGTGTTATGTGTTGAATCTCCTCCTCCTATCTCCTCTCCTCCAGCCGCATCTCCTCCTCCTCTCCTCTCCTCCAGCCGCATCTCCTCCTCCTCTCTTCTCCTCCAGCCGCATATCCTCCTCCTATCTCCTCTCCTCCAGCCGCCTCTCCTTTGCTCTCCTCCTGTGCACCACCAGCAGCTTCCTCCTCCTCACCGACAGTTGTGTTTGCTCGTAGATGGCGAGCGACCAGCATCCTTCGCCCTCCGGCTATCCCAGCCCTCCTCCGCGCTCTCCGCGCCCTCCTCCGTCCTGGCGTTCACAGGTGCTGCCGGTCAGCCACCGCTGTTTCTGTGCCTATCCCAGCTACAGCAACCGCTCTCCAGGCGACCTGGTGCCAGGCACCACTAGCTATAGCCGTAGGCAGTTACGGGGGTGTGTTGAATTATATTGCATATCTTATAACTGCCTACAGCTAGCTAGTGTACTAGTTTAGGTATTAGCATCAACTGCTGGTGGTGTACCCTCCCTTTTGCCCATTCCTATATCTTGTATTCATTCCATAGTGAAACTCCTCTTTTGGCCAACTTCCCTCTCCATGGTTCTCCTTGCTGAACCTCTCCAAAACCCTAGTTCCTAATCTCCTAAGTTTCCTAACTACTATGGTTCTCAACATGGTATCAGAGCTGGGTCCTTCTAAGGACCTTGTTATTTTTCATTCACCATGGCTGCCATCGTTGCCATGGCGACCGTTGCTGCGCCCTTCGAGGCGCTCGCCCGTTGCCTGCCCCGCGCTGAACGCCCCGTGCTACCCGCCCCACGCGCTGGTCGCCCCGTCCCGCGCGCTGTCGCGTCGCCCCGTCGCTGGTCGCGGACGCCAGCACCAGCGCCTCTGACCGTCGCTGACGCCAGCGCGAGCGCCAGCGACGTGCGCCAGCGCCAGCGTCAGCGCCAGCGCCAGCGGCATGCGCCAGCGCCGGTCGCGAGCGCCAGCGCCAGCAGCGGCCGCCAGCGCCCCTGCCATCGCCACCCCGCTCCCCGCCTCCGCACCTGCCGTCGCTCTCTTCTACGGTGGCCGTTGCGGGGGGGAGGTGGCGAGGCTCGCGCCCGCGGCTACGGGGGTGCTTAAGCCCCCTTGAACCCTCCTGCCCCTCCCTAATCCTCCTCCTCATCGCTGCCCGTGCATCTGCAGTTCGTGCCGCGTTTGGGGGGGGGGGGAAGAGGGTGTGGGGGTGGCGGGTATGTGCAGGCAGCCGCCTCCCCCTTCTCCTCCTCCTTCCGCTGCACTTCCTCTCCTCCTCCTCCTCTCCTCTCCTCCAGCCGCATCTCCTCCTCCTCTCCTCTCCTCCAGCCGCATCTCCTCCTCCTCTCCTCTCCTACAGCCGCATCTCCTCCTCCTATCTCCTCTCCTCCAGCCGCATCTCCTCCTCCTATCTCCTCTCCTCCAGCCGCATCTCCTCCTCCTCTCCTCTCCTCCAGCCGCATCTCCTCCTCCTCTCTTCTCCTCCAGCCGCATCTCCTCCTCCTATCTCCTCTCCTCCAGCCGCCTCTCCTTTGCTCTCCTCCTGTGCACCACCAGCAGCTTCCTCCTCCTCACCAACAGTTGTGTTTGCTCGTAGATGGCGAGCGACCAGCATCCTTCGCCCTCCGGCTATCCCAGCCCTCCTCCGCGCTCTCCGCGCCCTCCCCCGTCCTGGCGTTCACAGGTGCTGCCGGTCAGCCACCGCTGTTTCTATGCCTATCCCAGCTACAGCAACCGCTCTCCAGGCGACCTGGTGCCAGGCACCACTAGCTATAGCCGTAGGCAGTTACGGGGGTGTGTTGAATTATATTGCATATCTTATAACTGCCTACAGCTAGCTAGTGTACTAGTTTAGGTATTAGCATCAACTGCTGATGGTGTACCCTCCCTTTTGCCCATTCCTATATCTTGTATTCATTCCATAGTGAAACTCCTCTTTTGGCCAACTTCCCTCTCCATGGTTCTCCTTGCTGAACCTCTCCAAAACCCTAGTTCCTAATCTCCTAAGTTTCCTAACTACTATGGTTCTCAACATGGTATCAGAGCTGGGTCCTTCTAAGGACCTTGTTATTTTTCATTCGCCATGGCTGCCATCGTTGCCATGGCGACCGTTGCTGCGCCCTTCGAGGCGCTCGCCCGTTGCCTGCCCCGCGCTGAACGCCCCGTGCTACCCGCCCCACGCGCTGGTCGCCCCGTCCCGCGCGCTGTCGCGTCGCCCCGTCGCTGGTCGCGGACGCCAGCACCAGCGCCTCTGACCGTCGCTGACGCCAGCGCGAGCGCCAGCGACGTGCGCCAGCGCCAGCGTCAGCGCCAGCGCCAGCGGCATGCGCCAGCGCCGGTCGCGAGCGCCAGCGCCAGCAGCGGCCGCCAGCGCCCCTGCCATCGCCACCCCGCTCCCCGCCTCCGCACCTGCCGTCGCTCTCTTCTACGGTGGACGTTGCGGGGGGGAGGTGGCGAGGCTCGCGCCCGCGGCTACGGGGGTGCTTAAGCCCCCTTGAACCCTCCTGCCCCTCCCTAATCCTCCTCCTCATCGCTGCCCGTGCATCTGCAGTTCGTGCCGCGTTTGGGGGGGGGGGGAAGAGGGTGTGGGGGTGGCGGGTATGTGCAGGCAGCCGCCTCCCCCTTCTCCTCCTCCTTCCGCTGCACTTCCTCTCCTCCTCCTCCTCTCCTCTCCTCCAGCCGCATCTCCTCCTCCTCTCCTCTCCTCCAGCCGCATCTCCTCCTCCTCTCCTCTCCTCCAGCCGCATCTCCTCCTCCTATCTCCTCTCCTCCAGCCGCATCTCCTCCTCCTCTCCTCTCCTCCAGCCGCATCTCCTCCTCCTCTCTTCTCCTCCAGCCGCATCTCCTCCTCCTATCTCCTCTCCTCCAGCCGCCTCTCCTTTGCTCTCCTCCTGTGCACCACCAGCAGCTTCCTCCTCCTCACCAACAGTTGTGTTTGCTCGTATATGGCGAGCGACCAGCATCCTTCGCCCTCCGGCTATCCCAGCCCTCCTCCGCGCTCTCCGCGCCCTCCTCCGTCCTGGCGTTCACAGGTGCTGCCGGTCAGCCACCGCTGTTTCTATGCCTATCCCAGCTACAGCAACCGCTCTCCAGGCGACCTGGTGCCAGGCACCACTAGCTATAGCCGTAGGCAGTTACGGGGGTGTGTTGAATTATATTGCATATCTTATAACTGCCTACAGCTAGCTAGTGTACTAGTTTAGGTATTAGCATCAACTGCTGGTGGTGTACCCTCCCTTTTGCCCATTCCTATATCTTGTATTCATTCCATAGTGAAACTCCTCTTTTGGCCAACTTCCCTCTCCATGGTTCTCCTTGCTGAACCTCTCCAAAACCCTAGTTCCTAATCTCCTAAGTTTCCTAACTACTATGGTTCTCAACATTATGTGCCCCAAAATTCCCAAGGGCGACCCAGTACAAGTAGACCAAAAACCGCAGCGGGAAATATTCGTTGCTCGAACTGAACTTGTTTTGTCTTCACATCGCTAGAATCAGGCGATATCTTCAGCAGTTGCAGCTGGCAGCAGCTGAAATCGAATCGTTTGTCGTGGGCGAGTCGAGTGGATGGATTTGTCGCTAGTAGAGTCGGAATGGAACCGTCCTGAAATCCTCTGGTCGTGAAATCAGGGGTAGTACGAAATTGTCGGCGATGAATACGATCGAAGGCGAAGTCGAAAACGAGACTCGGCGATGGTCGTCGCAGGTGTAACCAAAATCGAATGTCACTCCGAAAATGTTGTCGAACGTTGATCCAGTGTCAGATGATGTCAGCACCTACATCGGCTTTGTCCAGACTCGCCGAGCCATTTGTCGTAAGGCGCCGAGGGCTCCTGGGCAGAGATGAAAAATTGCAGCTGTCTCTCCCCCCCCTCCACTGCTGCTGCCGCCTTCTTCAGATCGTCGTAAGTCGTTCGTACCCCTTGAAAGTTCCGTGTAGTTCTCGCGGTGTTGCCCACTTCGTTTGACGCGCGCGTTTAACCAAACGCCGCATTCTCCTCCGAAATTGTCGTCGCTCCTCGCCGTAAAACCTGTAAGTCCGTCGTCAAACTCCGAAATTGTCGCTCGAAAACAACCCCGTAAAATCTGCAGTAGCAGGTGCACTTCGTCTCCGAAATCTTCGGTCGTACTATAGCCGCCCACTCGGTCACCAGCTGTTTCCGTCAGTTCAGAACCCATCTTGGGGCATAATCTGGAACCGGGGACTAGACCTGGATATTCCGAGACCGACTTTCACAGATCCTAGAGGCATCAACGCCGTTGACTCCGTCGTCGAGACTGCTCCCGCCGATGTTGCTTAACAAAATACCACATTTCTCCCACCAGCGCTTTGCAGATGTTTCACCGCATCGCTCGTCGCCGGTCGATAAGTACCCGAAGTTACGACTGCCCCCCGCTTCCTTTTTCTTAAGAATTTCCCGAGGTGTGCGTTTAAACACCGGGGGTCCTAGGTCTCCTTGCCGCTGTGTTTCTTGCCAGGCAACTTCGAAAAGTGCCCTTCAGGCGAGTCCCACGTAAAAAACTCCGCTTTTCGTTGCAGCCCGTAAGTGTCGGCGGGTCTGAAAATCCCGTCTGTCCACGTGCACTCCTGCCGAAATCTTCGATGACGCGCCCGCCATGCAGTAAAAGCCGCTGCACTTCAGGTCGGGCGGGACGACAGTTGACCCCGCATAATTCGGGCAATTCACGTGTCGTCTCTCCTCGTCCACCGATATTTTCGGACGCAAACTCCATTTACCCCAGCCGACTTTTTCTCCACAGTTGCTCCGAAAATGTCGCCCACAGTGACGCCCGTCCCTTGTCGCCAGCTGCCGGAACACATTCCGCGAGTCATGCGCGCAAAATGACGACGAGCCACCGTCGCAACTTGCCGCTTCAGACGAACTCCGAAATTGTCGCGCAGCTGTTGACCCAGGTCCGACGGCATCAACTGCCACTCATCGTGACGACTTCCGAAAATCCCGTGCAGGTGCCGACGCAGGTCCGTTGACGCCAGCTGCCACACAAAACTTCCGAAATCATCGGAAAATCGCAGCGGAAGTTTAGGACGTGGGCCCAATCGAGTTTGATCGCCTCGATCACACGCGATCAAGAACTTCCAGGAAGCCTGGAAGCCAACTTCAGGCAATCAGGGGCAATCAGTTGATCGCGATCAACTGATCGCTCAAACTCAATCAGACCCAATTTTTAGCCCGATCAGAGCCGATTTTCGTCGATCACAGGCGATCACCTGATTGCTTGTGATCGGGGCCCCCAGCGATGCTTACGACTAGTTACACCGTTGTCCTTACAGGGAAACTAGGATTTTCGCCAGGTGACGTCTGGTCGCCAATCTCGCTAGAATGGGTAAGAAACTGCCAGGGAGATGTATCGCGCTTGCTGAGCAGGTGCCGACAACCTTCTTCGAAAAACATTACTGATCGAGCGGCTCGGGTACTTCGATCACAAGCAACCCGATTAGATCCAACCCGATAAGAACAGTTGCGATCAAACTCGATTGGGCCCACGTCCTTACTCACGTTTAACGTCGCGACAGCTACAGCTGTCCGTTGCCCGGGGGGAGGGAGGTCACGGTCGATCGCGACCGTTCAAGGCAAGGATCCAGCGGTGCCAATGGAGTGCCCGTAAAAACATAGCCGCGAGGAGCAACTAACTCGTTCTTCTGGCCGGCCTACGCAACTCCTGGACCCCAAGGCATCCTTCCTCATCCCCCCCCCCCCCTCCCGAGGGGTATTACACTCTAAAAAGCGGGGTAGGCTAGGAAAGTAGCTCTGATACCAGGTGTTATGAATGAACTTGCTGAGTGCGCAGTAAAACGAATAACGAGAATGTTGAACTACAGAATTACTGCATGAAGGAACAATGAAGTGGCGAGGCCTAAATAGGGGAAAACCTAGCAAGGCGGGGGGTTCAGGTTGGGATGGCTCGGTGATGGTTGCGATTGGAGCGGAGGCCGACTCGGGGGTGGTTCGGTGCGACGGAATAGGCCCAACAGGTTTGTCTCGTGACCCTCGGGATGGCCTCGCTAACGAGTGCCTCAGTAAGGATTTGTAAATCCTTACAAAATCAAATCAGGAGCAAATGGCAGCACAGTTACATGCAGTAAGATATAAACTTCTCCTGTATCACGCTGGAGAGCAAGCCAGAAAACTGTCTCCTAATAAATCACCATTCTTCGCATTCAAAAATGCATTGTCTACGATATATCATACACCCAGGCCAGGCCAGTGCTAGCTTTCTCAGAGCGAGGTGGCTTTTAGATCGACTCCATCTCCATTGTTGTGTGCTATGGCACCAGAAGAAAGACGAGGAGTGCCGTCACAAGGACGATGAGAGAATGGAGTTTCCACATGGAACGACTGAGGTGGCCTGTTGGGGGGAGAGAGAGAGCGGCTCGGAGGAGCAAATGAGCAGGCGAGCGAGCGTGTGCACGCGTGTGTGTTTCGTGTATGTGCGTGTTGCGTGTGTGTGTGTGTGTGTGTGTGTGTGTGTGTGTGTGTGTGTGTGTGTAAGGTGGGGGGGGTGCCATTCACCCCAGTGAGGACTAAGTGTGACAGCCAAAAAGGCAAGCCTTCTCACACCTAAGCACACCTTCTCACACCGTACAACCACCACGCACCTGCTTTCCCCCCGGCACCAGCCGAAGAAGTCGCATTGTTCTGAAGCGCCACCGGCAGGTCACTGGAAATCACCCCGTTGCCCTTGTCTGAATCCACAGCCGGCAAACTGCCGTTGCCGTTGCCGCCAAAGGGAGGCGTGACTGGCTGTGGTGAGGGCGGTGCTGCAGCGGGTGCGGGTGGTGCTGGGGGAGGTGGAGCTGGGATGGACGTGAAATATTCACCCGCGGAGCCTGTTGGGGTAAGGGGATTTTTTTGGGGGGGGGGGGAGTAAAAAGGGTGTTATGGAGCCGCCTCAGAAGGCAGGTGGTGCTGGGGGAGGTGGAGCTGGGATGCACGTGAAATATTCACCCGCCGAGCCTGACGGGTGGAGGGGAGGGAAGAGATGGAGGGAAGGTGGTTGTGTCACTCCTGCGGATTCTCTAAAGGGGGACGGAGTGATGCAGTGGGGGTGCAGCAAAAGGAGTGGGGGGGACAGGAACAGACGGATGTGCATAGGGAGAGTGGCCGGAGAGTGTGAGGGGAAGCGGGGAGGGCGAGGAGTGGCAAGGAGGAGGAGGAGGAGGAAGAGGAGGAGGAGGAGGAGGAGGAGGAGGAGGAGGAGGAGGAGGATGAGGAGGACGAGGACGAGGACGAGGACGAGGACGAGGACGAGGACGAGGACGAGGACGAGGACGAGGAGGAGGAGGAGGAGGAGGAGGAGGAGGAGGAGGAGGAGGAGGAGGAGGAGGAGGAGGAGGAGGAGGAGGAGGAGGAGGAGGAGGAGGATGAGGAGGAGGACGAGGAGGAGGACGAGGAGGAGGACGAGGAGGAGGACGAGGAGGAGGAGGAGGAGGAGGAGGAGGAGGAGGAGGAGGAGGAGGAGGAGGAGGAGGAGGAGGAGGAGGAGGAGGAGGATGAGGAGGAGGAGGAGGAGGAGGAGGAGGAGGAGGAGGAGGAGGATGAGGAGGAGGAGGAGGAGGGGGAGGAGGGGGAGGAGGGGGAGGAGGAGGAGGAGGAGGAGGAGGAGGATGAGGAGGAGGAGGAGGAGGAAGAGGAGGAGGAGGAGGAGGAGGAGGAGGATGAGGAGGAGGAGGAGGAGGAGGAGGAGGAGGAGGAGGAGGAGGAGGAGGAGGAGGAGGAGGAGGAGGAGGAGGAGGAGGAGGAGTGCAAGCGTGCCCTTTTTCTCCTTTGTTCTCCTTGTTTCTCCTTTTTGCTTCTTACAGTTGAGGGGTCGGAAGGCAAGCTTCTTCTTGGCGAGGTCAAAGCGCAGATAGAGGTCCCGCATCCACAGGGCTGAGAGGGGCCAGGGGGGATGGGCGAGATGGGGAAAGAAGTTGAAGAAAGGGGAAGCGGGAAAGGGAAGGGGAGTGAGGCAAGCTGTTTCGAGGCACATTTTGAGAATTCTCAAAAGTCGCACCAGGCACATGGGTATGCACACTGGCGCTCAAGGTATGAGGTTTGAGGTGGGATTAAACTTCTTGCCCCACCCCACCCCACCCACCCACTTGCCCTCCCAACCTCCGCCCCCACTTACCCCCAATGAAGCCGTTGGAGAGGTCATCATCCACCACAATGGCCGACAGACACAGGATCATGCCCGTGCTGTCCTCGCCCTGCCCAATCAAGGTGTGGTGTTCCGCATTGGATTGGGGCATAACGGGGAGGGTGATGGGGGGGAAAGGGTGGAAAGGAAAGGGTGATGGGGGGACGGGGACAGTGCAAGGGAATGGACTGCCGATGGGAGGTTGGGTTGGAATGCATCAATCGTTCGTACAAGACTCGACGCACACACAACCGTGTCGCGCACACACAACCGGCACACACAACCGTGTTGCGCACACACAACCGTGTCGCGCACACATGAATAGGGCGCATGCAAACGAATGCAAGAACAGGCGAGAGGAGGAGAAGAACAAGAGAGCGAACACAAGCAGGAGGACTCACGTATTTGATGAGGTAGTTGTTCGGTGTAATCTCCACCGACCCCTCCTTGACGTCCAGGAATATGGAGGGGAACACCATGTCCTGCGCCTCACTGCGACAGCCAGCGGGGTGGGAAATTGGGAATGGTTGTATCAAGGTGAGTTTTGAGGCGCCTCAACACTTTCCACCGACCCCTCCTTGACGTCCAGGAATATGGAGGGGAACACCATGTCCTGCGCCTCACTGCGACAGGGGAGTGATCACAATTGTGGTAGTCCTTTTGAGTCATGCAGTTTTTTTGCCCAAAGTGTTTCTTTTTCTTTCTTTCTTTCCATTTCTTTCTTTCTTTCTTTCTTCCTTTCCTGCTAAGATTTGCTCCTCATATAAGTAGACTCAATCGTCAGAAATATGGAGCGTCCTGTGCCTCAGTGCAGTAGCAGGGTGGGAACGGTAACGGTTCTGGATAGTGTTGAAGGGGTAGGTGGAAGCAGCAATGGTTATGGTTATGGTGGTGGCATGGAGAAACGAGTATAGGGTGAATTACCTTAGTAAATGCCAAAGTTGAGGTAAGGCACAAGATGGCATGAAATGGGACGAGATGACAGGAGACGGCAGGAGACGGCAGGAGACGGCAGGAGACGGCAGGAGACGGCAGGAGACGGCAGGAGACAGCAGGAGACGGCGGGAGAGGGACTCACAAGACGGTGAGGTGCACGCATGAATAGACGTCCATGTCGGCCCGGCGCAGAGAGGAGTTGGCAAACACCTGCCAGGGGGGGAAAGGCGGTGAAGGGTCAAAAATTGGATGGGTGGAGAATGGGGTGAGGTGAGGGGAGCAACGGGGGAGTCAGACGAGATCAGCGTGCACAGCAGTTTGATCTCAAAAGGCGGCTGATCTCAAAAGGTGAAAGCAGCGGCGGAGCTTACAAGTTTGACAAGGTCAGCGTGCACGGGAGCACGCACGCAGGCCCGAGGAGAGGCAGCTAGCCACGACAGCCAGCCAGCCCAGAAGCTCACCAGTTTGACCAGGTCCGCGTGCACGGCGGATCGCAGGCCCGAGGAGAGGTAGCTGCTCTGCTCTTGCCAGTTCTTGAGAGTCAGGTCAAAAGAGGGGAGGAGGAGGTGGAAAATCTCACCAGTTTGACCAGGTCAGCGTGCACAGCGGACCGCAGGCCCGAGGAGAGGTAGCTGCTCTTGACGGTGAACCCGCCTGTGAGGTCCGCGTTCAGCTTCGCCACTGCTGCACTACCCTTCACTGCTGTCTGCCCCACTCGGATCTGTGTGAGAGGCAGGAAGTAGCGCGTGCTGTGGGCGCGACGGGTGGAGGGGGGGACGGGGAGAGGCGGAAAAGGAAGATGAAGGGGAAGTGGCTTTGAAGTCGCGACTCAAAGGCTTTTCATTCGACTAGAAGTAAGCCATGCAAATCCGCGTCAGTGGAAGGGAGTAGCGTGTGCTGTGGGCGAGAAGGGACGATTTGCATCAGCAGCAAGAAATAACGGGATTGCTGTGGGTCACACACAAGTCAAGGCACAACCCGGCACACACACTCAATGCCACGCCACTCACTCGTTGTCAAACCCCAAATAGTCCGTGGTGGTAACATTGGGCAGTGGATGGGGAACAAGGCAGAGCCGGGTTGCACAGTGCAAAGTGCACGGTGCATGGTGCATGGTGCAAGGTGCATGGTGCAAGGTGCATGGTGCATGGTGCAAGGTGCATGGTGCAAGGTGCATGGTGCATGGTGCTTGGTGCATGGTGCATGGTGCATGGTGCATGGTGCTTGGTGCATGGTGCATGGTGCATGGTGCATGGTGCTTGGTGCATGGTGCATGGTGCATGGTGCATGGTGCATGGTGCAAGGTGCTTGGTGCATGGTGCATGGTGCATGGTGCATGGTGCATGGTGCACGGTGCATGGTGCATGGTGCATGGTGCAACCCGACTCGGTGCACAGCGCATGGTCAAAGCATACAACTCACTCGTTGTCAAACCCCACATAGTCCGTGGTGGTAACTGTGGGTGGCACCAGCAGCGCGCCCAGCCACAGTCACAAGCCGGCACGAGCACTCAATGCCACGCCACTCACTCGTTGTCAAACCCCACATAGTCCGTGGTGGTAACTGTGGGTGGCACCAGCAGCGCGCCCAGCCACAGTCACAAGCCGGCACGAGCACTCAATGCCACGCCACTCACTCGTTGTCGAACCCCACGTAGTCCGTGGTGGTGACATTGGGCGGCAGCAGCGGTGCGCCCAGCGACAGGAACCCTGAGTTGCTCGTTGAGTCGAAGCACAGCGCAAACGCAGGCGGCACCACCGCTGCTGCCGCCAGCTGGTTGAGCACGGAGTAGCTCCTGGCTCCGAGGCCCAGCACCCCATCCACCGCCACCGGGTCGTCTAGATCCTCCACTGGTCGCACTCTCGCGCAGCTGGTGGTGGTGGGGGAGGGAGGGGCAGGGGAGCGGGGCCAGCTGGTTGAGCACAGAGTAGCTCCTGGCTCCGACGCCTAACACCCCGTCCACTGCCACCGGGTCGTCTAGATCCTCTAAGGGAGGCAGAGGACATGGGCACTGGAGAGGGAGAGGTGGTTGAGCACGAAGTAGCTTAGCTTTTGGCGCCCAGACCCAGCACCAAGACCCAGCACCAAGACCCAGCACCGAGACCCAGCACCCCGCCGACCAACGGAGCATCCCGTTGGTGGTGAGGGTGTACTCGCATATGCCCTTCCCGCCGCCCTTCCTCCACTCCCCTCCACCTCCACCAACTAGTCGCACCGCAAGCAGACACTGGCGCCTGCGAGCCCACACACATGCCCGCCGCGCACAACCCACCACCCACCACCCACTGCCCACCACACAGAGGCGCGTACCCAAACATGACGGACGCCGTGGCGCTGGTGCTGCTCCCATCAGCGGCAGCGAGCGCAATGCTATCGGAAACAAGCGTGCCGTTGGTGGCAAGCGAGTACTCGCACACTCCCTTCCTGCCGCCGTCCCCCTCCGCCAGCTGGTCGCACCCAAACACGGGCGCCTGCTTGCACGCCGCGTCCTTGCACCCCACTGCCTTGGCTGTCGTGGATGCTGCTGTTGAGAACTCCGTGAGCGACTGATGGGGGGATGGGGGGGAGAGGAGGGGAGGGGAGGGGAGGGGGAGGGGGGGGAGGGGGAAAAGAGGCGGGGCTTTTGAGTGGATTTGGGAGTCGCCTTGCACCCACCGGCTTGGCTGTGGTGGATGCTGCTGTTGCGAACTCCGTGAGCGACTGATGGGGGAGAGATGGTGGGAGGTAGGTATGGGGGGACAGATGTGGTGAAGGGGGCCGAATTGGGGTCGTGGGAGCGGACTCACGCACGAGCGACGCGACGACGGATGAAACGAGGGCGGGCGGCGGAGGAGGAGAAGAAGAACGAGGCCGGGGGGAGGGACGGGGAAAGGAGTGGGGGCGGGTTGGCCAAGGGAGAAAAAAGGTTTGGAGACGCGGGAACAAAGAAGCGGGAACGGAAAGCACGGAAGGGAGGGAGAGAAAGAGCGAGGGAGGAAGGGAGGGAGAGAGGGAGGGAGGGAGCAAGGCAACGCACGGTGACGATGGTGGAGGAGGAGGGGCACTGCAGGCAGTCGCAGGAGACCCACGACAGGCTCGTGCTCGTGTCCACGTTCACCGCGAACGTGCGCGCGGGCGTGCCCAGCGATACCACCGTGTACATGCGCCTGCGGGGGTGGGGCGGGGGAATGGGTGGAGGGGAGCTTTGAGTCGACTCAAAGAACGAGCGTGCGGGCATGCCCCGCGTTATCCCCGTGTACATGCGCCAGACGGGGAGGTGGGGAAGGGGGGCGGGGGAGTAGGGCGGCGGATTGGCGGACGGGGAGCAGGAGAAGTGCCGGGGGGGAGAAAGGCCGGGGACTGGTCGCATCAAGCGTGGGAGATGATAGGAAAAGCTCAGTGGCATCAAGCGTGAGGAAAAGTAAGGGGAATCTAGTAGCATCAGGTGTGCGCGCGTGGTACGCGTGTGGTGCGCGCGCGCGGCGCGGCATACCCGAAGTTGTTGAAAGGCGACGAGATGTTAAACAGCGCGTTCGCGCCGTCCGCCGCGTTGCCCGCTAACATGCGCCCTCGCCTCCGCTGCGCGCGGATGGGTGAACGCGGAACCGGGGGAGACGGGAACGGGGGAAGAGTGGGAAGGAGAGGGGGAAACGTCAGGACGGGGGGAAGCGGTCCGCGGAGAATTCAACCGGGTGCGCAGTCCAGCACGGGGGGGAGAGATCCGCGGAGGAGGAGCCAGATGGGGGCTGCGGAAGCTGTTTGCGCGGGGAATGATCGCGAGCGTTGGCGGAACCTGATAAGAGTTGGCGGAACAATGAAAGGGGCGCGGGAACTATTCCCCTAAGCCGCGATTCTGCGGACAGCACCACTGCCGTGCACCGTTGACCTTATTTCCCTTACCCCCTCCCCGATTCTCTCCCATTCCTTGCCTCTCGACGTCTCCTCTCGGCGCCTCCTCCCAACCTATCCTCTCGACATCTCCTCTCGACCTTTCCTGTCAGTGTCTCCTCGCTCACCCCGGGCCGCACGCGAGTCGTACCGAGAGAGGCGCGGAAGCGGATCTGGCGGCGTCAAGAGAGAGGAAGACGCGCGACGTGAAGTGCGCGCCTCCGAGAGTAGTAGCGCCGATCGCGCTGCTGCCGTCCTGCGCGCATTGAGACACGTGTTACGTATTCCATTCGATGGGGACAAGGGAGCACGGATGTGCGGGTGGGATAGCATGATGGCATGCGGGAGTCGCGTCAAGAGATACGACACTCTTTAAAGGGAGAAATTGCGCACGCAGGCTCGACGTATACATGTAAATGCATTTACGCCATTCGTGTCGCGCGCATACGACGAGAGCCGTTCATTCGCGTCCGTGCGCACAGTGCGGACACACAAGCAAGATGCGCCCTGGGACAGTCGCGGTTCCTCAGCCTGCCATAGGCCCTGTGGATCACATACCACCTAACCATGGAGAACAACTGAAAACACCTGATGGCACCTGGGAGCGTTTGTGCACCTGTGAATAGTGAGCTGTCGCTGCGGAGAGGAGAAGCAGAGAAATCAGCGGCACAAGCCAGTAGTATCTTGATAACAACCACGGACTCTGCCTGAATAAGCTGCCGCCGCTGGTGCTGGTAGAACGGCTCGCTCTTCTACATCTTCTGCTGCCGCCGCCGCTGCTGCTGCTGCTGCTGCTGCCGCTGGTGATGGTGCTGATTGATTCAGTTTCTGCTTCATCCCGCGCTTTTACTCTAGACTTCATTCTGATTAATCCACGAGTCTGGAAATACGGTCCTCGGATTTGCTGTTGTCGTTATGAGTGCCCAGATGCAAGCACTTGAGCCAAACAGAAAGCTTTATTATGCTTGCGAAGAAAGCTCGTATTGCGACGTATCGGCTTACTCTGCGCGTCAGCTATCTGGTAAGGCGACACAGCAACGAATTACCGAACGCGACAGCCGGCAAGGACTGGAAGCTGTAAGCACGACCGCCAAGTACTTACAGTATCTCGAGTCACTGGGTCGCAGAGGCAGAGATATTCACTCTGTTGTCCGCCAACCATGTCAATTGTTCCCGCCATGCATGTACAGTTCGCATATCTGCACAGGCACGGCCATCTTCCGTTGCGCACTTAAATTTCTGTGTGCTTGCAACTGTGCTGACTTTCTTTGGGGAACTGGATGACTCGAACCCACCTGCAGAACGGCACTACCCAAAGACAAGGGCAGCGGATTTGTCGAGTCTAGGGATGTTTCCTGTCATTGGTTAATAAAGCAAGTTAAGACGAAGTTGTGCCATTTTGTTAGGGCTCTACACTCTAGGTTCCGTAAAAAACAAATACCGCCTCCACAACCCAGCAAAGCGCTCCTGCGAGTTCCTGTCGGTCGGTGGTTCTCTCCTGACCTGACTTACAAATTTTCGTGCTGATGCAGAACCCACCGCATGTCACTCAGGGTGGCTGTCGACAGAGCCAGGTGCTGTCAGAGTGCGGCGCGGTGCAAGGATGCCCGAAGCGGTGCTGCGTTTGCGTTTAGCGAAGGGAAAGAAAGACCGCCACACCTGACGCAAGTTGGATCTAGCAGGGCTACTACACTTTTCAATAAAGGAAAACAATGCAGCATTACAACAGAAATGAAGGCCTCTCAAATCCTGTCCAAATTTGCAAAACCTTTAGTGGAGGTGCAGCTTCATTTATCTTTACCCACACAGCCAAGTTCTTTAGCGTTTCCATCGATGCATTGTTCAGTGGTTCCAGTAATGCACCTGTATACGCCGCAAGCAAGATTCGTTAATCAAGGTCGTACGGTTCCGATCAGCTTCAGAACATCAGATTCAACTAAGCACTTCTAGTAACAAACTAGACAGTGGTGTTGGTTATGCAGTGACAGTAGTGAAGTAGGTGACCTCCCTGCCATGGAGTGGCTCTGGCAGACGGTTGTTGGTGCGCTCCTTGTTCATCGTTCCCATCAAATTCATGAAAGTGGCAGCCTGCGAGGTGAACGAACAAAAGGGGCCATAGTTTCAAACAAAGGGCACATAAAACACAGTGAGAGCGGGATTGAAGGGAGGCACGGAGAAACATAAGGGTGGAAAAGCATTAAGGTCCAAACAGGGGGAGGGGGGACAGGTACCGGCCAGGCAACGGGTTGCCAAACAGGTGGTGAAGTCGCAGGACACACACCTGGTCCACAGAGAGGAACTTGGCCTTACGCAGCACATGCCACTCAACAATCTCATCGCAGCCTGGAGTAGTAAGCGAGCCGGGATACCTCCAAAACCCAATGGACAGATCCATCATCTCCCTCCAAAAACTCCCAGTAACATCAATCCCAGCCATTGCGTCCAGCCCAGAGGGGGTCTTAGGCAGCCATGAATCCACCCACGGGCTCGCCTGGTCATCCCGCTGGAGTCTCAGCATTACGCCGACGACAGCGAGCTGGGAGGGGTTGTCGATGTGTGCATGCACGAAGTGGGCTTCCATGGGAGCAAAGAGCCCGTTGATTGCGTGCTCTGAGAACGAGTGCACGTGCACCTGCTTCAGCTCGTAGGTCCCGCTGGCTATGTGCAGCCTGTAGGTGTTGGATGGATTCGGGACCACCTCTGGGGGACAGAGAGAGGGGATGGGGAAAGGGGATGTCAGGTGGAGAGGCAGAAGGTTAAGGAGGAGAATGGCGAGGAGCCGAGATACGGAAAAGAAGGACGGAATGAGCCATAGAGGCACAATAGGGAATAGACGCAAAATGTGACATGTCACTCACGGACGGTGTGACCCTTGTTGACGACTGTAGCTGTGGTGGCTGACGTGTCATAGTCAAGGTGCAACTTCTCTGCATCCGTCACGGTGCGTGCCTCGTCCATCACTATGTTGATGGGCGACTGTCTCTCACCCGACGCACACACGCCCTGGAAAGGGGGGAGGGAAGAGGCGTGGTGAGAAAGATGGGGTGTAGTCGATTTTTTAAAAGTGTATTGTGTAGAAGATGAACCGATATACGCTTTGCTGATGTCTTGGCGCACATCTTCCATGAGACCTTCAGCCGTGTTCACTAGACGTTCCTACCTCCTGGACTCATGACTGGGAGAATCGCCTCACGGCGTGGCCGCACTCCTTACACACAGCAGCACGGAGTGAAACAAACGAGCAGAAACCAATCCCTCGCTACTGTCAGCCGCCTATATTTCCACAGGGACCCGCATTCTAAGTTCCCGGAGCGCCTACCTCCCAGTCGAGGCCGCTCTTGGCGTAGTTCACTCCGACAGCGACAGGAGCAGAAGCAAGGAGAGCAACCGTAGCAGCCAGAACCAGCACAGGTAGCAGCTGGGATGCCACAAATAGACGAGCCATCGCGAGTGTGAAGATGTTAGGAGACGGTAGTAAGGAGAGCGCAAGGCTGTCGTCGCTGGTGAGTGTACGGGCTGTACGATTGAAGTTGGGTTAGAGTGCTCGCTTGCTCCGAAGGTTTGATTTGAGAAGAGGATTGATCTTAGCCTCCATCTACAATAGAGATTCGAGGCGATCCTGCGAAGAGCGGGACGCGCAGCGCATGGGACGGTCGGACCGATCCGCCCTCTCATGTTGGATAATATTCCTGGACGGCGTTTTGCCCGAATCGCGGGGTGCCGCTGGAAGAGGAGACGTGACGTGACGACTGGTTCCGGCGGCTCTTCTGAACTACGAAAGCCATTCTGCTTCGAAGAGTGAGCTTCGATTGGCTGAAAGCTGCGGACTTGATAGGGGACGTCGAAGCGCAATGCTTGCTGCTGAGAGTCGTGAACGGGCGGTGGTGTGACGGTTACTTCGTAGGGAAGTTTAAAAAACAAACTTATAATACTTGTCATTCATCACGGATCATCCCATAAGGAGCTACATGCTTGAACTTTCGTGAAGGTCAAGCGAGTCTGCAGCGGAGTGTGTGCGACAAACGCTTCGCGACTATAGATATCTCGTCTGTTACACCAGTTGTGCTGCACTTCCTTAGCGTTCTACACCCGTGCCGCAACCGCAATCCCCTCAACCTCCAACCGCCCAGCGCCCAACCCTTCAACCCACCAGCCTTCGGTGATCTGGTCAACCTCCACTTTTCCAGCTGCCTATTGTCAATCAGGTGTTGTTGCGCCAGACGCAGCACGCGCAAGATACCTCAATCTGGACCTGTTCACGCGTTCGCCTCGAAGCAACCACCGGTACTCTATCCTTGAGTTACGTGAAAGTAGCCCTTGCTGCACGCGGCGCACCTCGCTACCTCGTTGATCCTGATCTTTGGGAGGTGGAAGTGGCGGCTTCGGCACGGTTCTTCGAAAAAGATGCCCCTTTGAGCTATCGTGACCACTGATCGTGTGAGCAGACGACTGATTGCGCGAGCAGGCGACTGATTGTGCGAGTAGGCGTCGGATCCAAGGCGACAGATCCAACGATAGGCGACGGATCCAGCGACAGGCGACGTCGCACACATGGATCCGCGACCGGTGGTGGTCGTCGTGGGTGCGGGAATGGCGGGCGTGACTGCCGCGCGCACGTTGCAGGTGAGATCGCAAATCACGCGCGCCACGTGGAATATTGCGCTCACCAGAGAGATTGTGACGACGTCGGGATCCGCTGACGTGGCGGGAAGGATGCAAGTTGCAGAAATTCTTGATGCTGGTGTGGGTGCTCCCTCCCATCCTTCTCTCATTTTTTCTCTATACTATATCTCCATATCTCCGACATGCCACGTCTGGATCCACCCCATCTCACAAACAAAAAAACCCAACACCTTCTTCTCCATCCCCCAACCCCTCCCTTCTCCATCCCCCACCCACTCCCTTCCTCCCCGTCAACCCCTCCTTCGCTTCCCTCCCTTCCTTCTCAGCAATCGGGGTGCGTGCGCGTGCTGCTTCTAGAGGCCAGTGACAGGCTTGGGGGCCGAATCCACTCCGCCACGTTCGGGGGCGACCTCGTGGAGGTACTATCTGGGCGTATCCGGCCGCGTGTGTGTGGGAGGGATGGGGGGAGGGGGGGGGGGGGGGGGGAGTAGTCCGGGGGAATACGAGGCCTCTGAAGAATCGGTTGCAGAGGCGACTCAGAAGCAGACTCCACCACGGTCAGGGGCGACCTGGTGGAGGTACTATCTGGTATATCAGGCGTGTGAGGGGGGGGGAAAGAGGAGGGAGTCTTTGGGGGTAGATTGGTCTGCTTTGGTTGGTTGGTTACTTGCCCGGATGGCCCATGGCATGGCATCATGGCATGGCATTATGGCATGGCATCATGGCATGGGTGAGGCTTGCTTGGTGCCGCCGCTCACGTGAACGCCCAACCCAACCAGCCATCCCCAGGGCCGTACGAGGCCTAAGGTGACAAGCATCAGCTTACAGTGACCAAACAACATATAGCCTCTCATGATCAGCCCTGCCAGCCCACCCCATCGCGTCCTTCCCTATGAAATGCCTCAACGGCCGTACTAGCCCCCACAGGCCGTGACACCCGGGGCGAACTCTAGCAGCTTTGGTTGTCTGTTCATCCTCTCTCTCGCCCGCGGCCTCTCTCGCCCTCTCTCGCCCCCTCTCGCCCTCTCTCGCCCTCACTCCCTCTCTCCCCGCACCCCCATTCCCCCTCTCCCCCTCCTCTCGTTCCGCCCACACCAGCTGGGCGCGAACTGGATCCATGGCATTCACGGCAGCCCTCTCTACGCCATCGCACAGGAGCAAGGACTCATGCAGTCCCCTGGGTCTGGCTGCCTAGAGGCGAATGGGAAGATACAGGGTGGTGCTGTGGGGGCGGCTGGGAAGGGGCAAGGGCAGAAGAGGCTGTGGAAGGGGGTGAATCGGTGGAAAAAGGAGGGCGGGGAGGAGATGGATGCAGGCGTGGTGAAGGAGGTGAAACGCGTGTTCAGGCGGCTTCTGAGGGAGGCGCAGCTGGTGGGGTCGCGGGTGGGGGAAGGGAAGCAGCAGCAGGCGCGGTTTATGGACAAGAGTGGAAGAGAGGTAAGGGGTCGGGTCAGTCGGAGAATCTGCTGTTTCAGAGAGTGCATTGGTGAACCCAGAGTGCATTGGTGATGGGAAGCAGGGCTAGTGAGTTGTGGACGCAACAAGTGGAGGTGAGGGGGTGAGAGATTGCTCTTTCCTTGCTCTCTCCTCGCTCTTTCCATGCTCTCTTCATACTCTCCCCATGCGTTTCCATGCTCTACACATCTCTGCCAGGTGACGATCGATGAGAGTGTGGGGCAGTACATTCACGAGGGCATGCTGCAATACCTGGCCAAGCAAGGCTGGACCCACCAGGAAACCACCCCAGAGCAGCAGCAGCAACAGTTTCAGAATGGCAGCATGAGCAATAACGGCGAAAATGGCTGCGACAGTGACAGCGATGACGAGGACGAGGATGACGACGACGAGGACAGGTGGGAGGATGATTGGACTGGAGCCACAATACTCTGCAATGCCGGCGACTCAGCTGTCGCCTTCCAAGACTCTGCCAGGTGTGTTGTAACGCAACTTGTAAGTGGACTCAATGCAACTGCTCAATGCACACAGCTCTTTGCCTTTCTCAACTCTCCATCCCCTCAGCCGCCCCCACCCCGTTTCCCCCACACCTCTCCCTCTCTCACCAAATCCCACCCCTCCAATCATCTCACTCACCTCCCCCCTTCGCCTCTCCCTTCTCACCCCTTCGCGCCATCTCCAACCCCCTGATCTTGCCAGTGCTAGTGCCGGTCCCTCCGTTGCTGCTACTATGCCCGCTCAAGCGTCTGAACCAGCATCATCACCACCAGCACCATCAGCAGCACCATTAGCAGCAGCAGCACCGTCACCAGCTGCGAGCAGAAGCGAGCAGGCAGTGGAAGTGGAGTGGGCGTCAGAGGCAGTGAACGTTGAGGGTGGCGGTGTGGCAGCAGCTGGGAGCAGCAACGAGCGGGCAGGTGTCGAGAATGTGGAGTGGGAGTCAGAGGCAGTGCGTGCGAGGGCGGCGGTGTGGCAGCAGAGGGAGCGGCTGGAGTGCACCATCAGTGCCTGCCACTCCACGCACCACCTCTCCCTGCGCTACTTCGGGGAATACGAGGAGTTTGGAGGGCCGCATGTCACCATCGCCCAGGGGTATGCATCTGCTTGAGGTGTCTGAGGGGGTATGCATCTGCTTGAGGTGTCTGAGGGGGTATGCATCTGCTTGAGGTGTCTGAGGGGGTATGCATCTGCTTGAGGTGTCTGAGAGATGTCTTGCTGAGTAGAAGAAGTTGGAAAGGTGGATGTCATGTTAACATCGCCCAGAGCTTAGGGTAAGTTCCCTTTGAAGGTTTTTTTTTTTTTTTTTTTTTTTTTTTGGGTTCAGGTCTTTTGAATTGTATGGGATTAAGCAGCCCTCACACGTGACCATGGTTACGGCTGTTAGGGGACTCGGGTATATGTCGTTCCACCCTGGGGGCACCACCATCTGGCTCAGACCAGACCTATGGTTTTGCAGATTCACTGGGCCCCTCTTACCTGGTGCTTGGTATTCCACCCGCCCCCCCGGCCCACACACAACCTCCCATACACCGCGCCCCCTCCCTCCGCTTTCACCCCACCTCTCTCTTCCCCCCACTTTTCCGTCTCCCCAGTTACTCCCGCATTGTGGAGCATCTAGCATCGAGCCTCCCTGCTGGTACCATCCGGCTCAACTCCCCGGTGTCACAGATTCATTGGACTCCTCTTACCTCGTGCTTGGTAGGCGACCACTGCCGAGAGGAGTTACATGCAGGGTCAGCAGTAGCAGCAGGAGGAGGAGCAGCAACACTGGAGCAGCAGCAGGGGGGAGAGGAGGGGGAGAGAAAGCCAGTGTGTGTGGTGTTGGAGGGAGGAGAGAAGGTCTACGCGGACCATGTGATTGTAACGGTGTCACTAGGCGTGCTTAAAGAGAGAGCTGCTGGGAAGGACGCCGATTCCGTGCCCGAGCGGAACCTTTTCTGCCCGCCTCTGCCCGAGACAAAACTGGGTGCTATTCGGCGGCTTGGCTTTGGAGTAGCTGACAAAGTGTTCCTGCAGTTCCCACAGGTGTGAAGCATAAGAGAGAGAAGTGTAGTTTTGAGGCGCCTCAGAACTAAACAAAGTGTTTCTGCAGTTCCCACAGGTGTGAAGCATAGAAGAGAGAAGTCTTCTGACCAACCTTCTCTCTTCTTCCTGCTGTCCATGTTGACATTGACTCAGCCGCAGCCGCAGTCAAAAATAGTATTCTCTTCATTCCAGCCTTCTCTTTGTCCCAATCCCATTCTCTGTCCAAGCCCTTTCTCTGTCCTTGCCTGCCCCTCCCCTTTGCCTTGCCTGCCCCTCCCCTTTGCCTTGCCCAGCCGGCGGTTTTTGGGGAGGACACAGCAGAGTTGGAGATAGTGTGGGACGTGCCGGCTCAACCCCTCGCTCCGCCAACACACTGGCCTGGCCCTTGGTGGGACTCAGATGCTGCCCATGCTGATTCTGATGCGAATGCTGCTGGTGCTGTTGATATCTCGGCTCGCTTCCCTGCATGGACGCGCAAGCTTTTCTCCTTCCACCCAGTCAACGCGCAGTCGCGAGTGGTGCTGGCGTGGATAGCCGGGAAAGAGGCATACGACATGGAGTCCTGGCATGGGGAAGAAAGGACAGAGGAGAGAGAGTGTGAGCTCGAGAACGGATCAAGCGTCTGTAATGGCAGCATGGCTGCCAAGGCTAGTATCGCGCAAGCTGATTCTGCTAGCGGCGCTGCTGCTACTGCTACTGCTACTGCTACTGCTACTGCTTCTGCTACTGCTACTGCTACTGCTACTGCTACTGCTGCTGCTACTGCTACTGCTGCTGCTGGTGAGGCGAATGGTTTAGCCCAGTTGACAACCGCCACTACCACCACTGCCTCCCCCACTCCCCCTCACTTCAACCGCACGCTCTGCAACGTTATCCGGCATTTCCTTCCAAAAGAAACCGCCGCACGGCTCCCAGAGGCCGTGGCTGGGCTGCGCACGCAGTGGGGGTCGAACCCTCTGTTCCGAGGGTCGTACTCGTTTGTGCCTCCTGGGGGCTCTGGGGAGGACTTGAACATCATGGCTCTGCCTGTGCCTGGTGGAGCAGCAGCAGCAGCAGAAGGAGAAGCAGGAGCAGAAGCAGCAGTGAAGCTGCAGGTGCTGTTTGCAGGGGAGGCCACGGAAAGGCACCACTACTCCAACACGCATGGGGCGTACCTGTCAGGAATCAGGGAAGCAGGGAGGCTCATAGCTCTCTACGGCTCCCATGGCTAGTGGATGGGTTTTGAGGCGCCTCAAAAGCAGGCTCATGCTTAGTCCCCTTGACTTGCATGGCTTGTGAATGGGTTAAGCATTTCCAGTGCTAGCTACATCTGCGGTTGCTTTAAAGCCCTCTGATTGGAACAGGGACAGTGGACAGCAACTTTAGTGCGGTGCGGGAATGTGGTTCGGAAGGGAGAACATGCACTGTATGGAAGGCCGTAGTTGTGCGTTACCTGAGTTGATGCTTCGTTGTACCTTGGCTTTGAGGCCTAACATTTCAAATAAATGCTACACCACAACCCACCTCACGTACACCACCATTTAGTATGATGCCGTTAGCCTTGGCACTAGTACACTAAGATTTCACAAATTACCAATAAGGTACCAAAGTTTCATATTTGATTTCCTTCTCATGCATTTCGTCCACATACATATTTTTTAGCACGGTAGTGCGCTGCAATCCTCTCTAGATGTTTCAATAGCATACCTCACAATAGAGTAGTTTTTCTTACATTTAAAGTGCGAGCTGCATTTGCTTACCATGTAGTTGATCTGTACTCTTCCGCATGTCATAATTCTTGTACCATCACTGTTCGTGTCGAGTTTGTGGAATCCACAATGGGGCACGAAGCTGGTTCAAATCTCGGATCGCGTTTTGTTTCCTTCACACGCTCCCGAAATAGATGTGGATGGCCACGGGGAAAAGCGCGGCTCGGGCGCTCGACCTACCTAGACCCACCCCCCGAAAATGGCAGAGGCGAAATAAAAAACCACGAACCAGCTAGACCTGGTTCTCGACCGTTTTACCTATTTCCAAATAGATGTTTGGCGAAGGGTAACCATTTCGCCAAACATTTCACCCAAATGAACAGTTGACAGAGAGAGAGCTGTAACCACCTCGCTAACAGTTAGATTCGACGACTTACCGGTAGTGCGCGAACGGCCGAATAGTGTCGCACGAAACTCGGTAGTGTATTTTGGTGTTGAAATCAATTTCGTTTGTATATCTTTAATAATGGTTTAGTTTCATTGTAGTGTGGTTTTTTTTAATCAGTGAAATGTAATGTGAAGTTTAAGTGGTTTTTTTTTTTAATTAAATGGATACAAGATGTCTCTTTGTTCCTATTAAAAGCATTTCCAATGGTTTATATGCACATATAGTGATGCAATGGGCTCACAAGTACAGCTCAAAATATGCTTTTACAAGAGGTTGTGAGCTTGTCCGTTTGGTTTTTCCACGTGATTTTTGTATATTCTGTCTCCCCTAGCACCCCTCTACTAGATTCAATCATATTTGAAAGTATGCCAACGTTTGCACTTTTTGGTTCATGTTAGCTCTATCAACTATGTCTGTAGTGCATGTCAAGTCATTCTACGGCAAACATCAAGACAAAGTTGTTATTTTTACCATGTTATTTGTTCTGTCATGAAGGTTTGTCTGGCTTAGAATGGCTTGTATACCACCCTTGTCATGTCAAACCAGTGGTTGAATTCACAAATAAATAGACACGATTGCTTGCTTGCTTGGGAGTTTTTGGCACATGTTTGCTGTGTTTTTATGAAATGGCTTTGCCTTTTGCCTCCCTCAGTACTCTTCACAATGTTGTCAACACCCATGAATGGGATACTCTAGTCATATTGCAAGAAGATTTGTTATGCGAGCTGACTGTACAGTTCACATGTACTAGTTATATTTGGCTGTAATATTACAGTTTGACAGTACTTTTTTACATGTTTTGAAGACTATGGGCCCCCCTTTGAGTGACTCCCCACACTGCCTTTATGTAGGGTTGGCATTCACCACTTTTCTATGTGAATTATAAAATTATGTGGTTGCATTTGTAATGAATTCAACATTTCAGTGGCTGGGTGTACCGTTTTATGCACATAGACATTGTGGGGTGCTGAATTTCGAGTGTTTCTGCTGGCAAATCTTCAATGACTTCGGGCGGGAATTTTAGACCACCACGTGGCACATTCGAGTCGTACAAGGTTGAGACATGCAGAGAACGCTTTTAAATTGGATCGCGTGCTGCATGGCGTGTTATCGAGGTGCAGCACATGAAGAAATGCACATGGCCATTCAGAGTTACATGCGTGCGAAAATTGGCACGCCCGGTGGTGATTGGTCGAAAATGCTTCTCGTCCAGGTTGCCCCGTCTAGCACAAACATTCACTTAAAAGGTGTACCGACTGACCGAGTACGACCTCCAGGTAGGTGCGCCCTCATGAGAGATGGAACGATTTCGTAACGACCCCACAACCATGGCGACACATTCTATGAATATTTTCGGGGGAATACGCCCTCCGAATTAGGCCGTTAGGCTCAAACTCAGAGGTATAAAAGTCAGTGAGGGGTCCTTTTTTCATTTTGCAGCTTCTCTTTCTCTTTTGTTGATTTTCTTTCCAATCCAACTAATCTGCACCCCACTTCCCTTAGTCGATGGAGCCCTCGATTGAACTCGAGGGGGCTGGTCTGCGTGTGCGGTTGTCGCGCTTAGAGTTCGAAAACTTGCGGGACCTGGAAGCGGAATGGTCCGAGAACATTCTCAACTTCGTGCTGCTGTAAGTCGCAATCGAACGACTATCACTCGAATTGAGTGGCACGTTTTCGAGTTTACTTACCCTCTAAAAGACGTCCTTCATTTAGCGGTAATATGTGTGAGGTTGTTTGGTACTCATTGAGCTGTGACGTTTTTCGAGAACATCCTCTTTCGTCCATCACCGAATGCTTCTAGCGGTAGGCTGTTCGAGCCTTATTTCAGAGATTCGACTTTCGAGATTCTGGTTTGCTACCTGGAATGTGAGGTGTAGCGATCGCCTCTTGCAACCATTTTTCGAGCGTGTTGTCTCGTGATCTTTCGCAGGATGCTTGCCAAAACTAGGCTGACCGCGGAGCAGCTTTCGAAGGTCGAAATCGTCCCCATGAGTCGGGTCAACGTCGCCAAGGCGAAAGTCCCACTCGAACCCATGGGTCCAGGCAGACTCACTGGTCTCCTAGGGAAGAAACTCTGTGTCTTCCCGTTATGGTCCAGGTGCGCTCTAATACCCGCAAGGAACCATTTTTATGGCTTTGGGTTTAGTCCCTTGAGAGTTTTCTAAAGGTGTCTATTATTTCGCCACAACACCCCTTGCAGTATCACTGTCGAACCGAAGGCGCGTTGTAGCCTCTTTGTTCTCGTACGCCCCGACAGTCTGGCGGCCCACCCGAAGTTACCGGTTCAGACGCGTCTTTTGCATTTCGACCCCTAAGCCACTTCTCCGACTCATAAGCACGCCGATCTCGCCCTAAATATTGTGCGGTGAGTATCCGTCGTTTAAGCGGCATCCGTGCGGGTTGGAAGGTGAACGACGCTCAGTGACGTCGGACCACTTATGTTGAGCAGGTGGCTTGAGCTGCAGCTCTTGATGGAATATTCAAGAGGGGAAGCGAACTTGGGGGAAGCGAACTCGGTCGGAGAGACCCATGAAGTATTTCGCGACATTCGGAACCGCATCACAGGCGGCTGGAAGCTCGACAAAACGGGGGTACGTTATCGAATACAATGCTACGTGCTACATTTTTATCGAAAGCGGCCACGTGCTAACGCTTTTCCGCATCCGTATTGTTGCAGAAGCTAACTCAGTCACTCGGCCAAAGGGAGGTTGGTTCGGGACTTCACGTGGCCTACCAGTGGTGCAAGATGCTCGATCATTTTGACGCCATTCTGCAGCAACAGACGAGGGACGAAAAATTCCTCAATTTGGGTACCCCACAATACCGTCGAGAGAACATTCTGAATGACATACTCACCGACTGTGGTAAGTATTTCGACAAGGTTGCGCGTGGTGAAACTACGGGTGAGGGGGAAGAGGAGGACAACTTGGTCCATCATGGGCCTGTCGCAGAGGACACAGGGCCCCCGCCAGAGATTGATGCGGAAATAGTCGCTGTAGGGGCGCTGGTTTCTGACAGCGTTCGAAAGGGTCTAGCCAACGAGCGTCAAAGCGTCACGGATGGGGAGCGTCGGCTGATGGATACAGACGACGCACACGGTCGGAGGGAGAGTGCGCGCGAGATATTGCGTGGAATGAGGGAGACGCAGCAGAGGGCAGCAGTGGCCAAAATTCAGCGTTGCGGATTGGAGGCCGTACAGCAGAGGGGGGAGGGGGAGAGCATGGAGGAGCTACAGGCAGTGCATCTCCCCGTCGAGGATGATGAACACGATCAGAGGCAGAGGATGGAACGCGAAACTGGGAAGGTGTATCAGAGGCGTGAGGCGCGAACAAAGAAGAGGTATGATCAGGGGCTTGAAGAACGCGTTGCGGTGGACGCGAATGAGAGGGAGGAACAGGAGCGTATCCTATTCGATGACGAGGGTCGAGAGTTTCCCGCGACGGAGGGGGATAGGGAGGGAGATGAACGGGAGCAGGAGAGGGTCGAGAACGAGAGGCGTCTTGAGCGCGAAAATGAAGAAGAGCTGCAGAGAGAGGTAGGGAGTGAGGGACTCAAGGAGCAAAGGTCGATGGAGCGCGAAAATGAGGAGGCACGACAGAGGGTGGAAAACGAGGGGCTCGAGGTACAAAGGCGGGTGGAGCGCGAAAAGGCGGAGCATAGGCAGAGTGAGGAGGAAGAGCGGAAGAGGGAGGAGGCGAGGAAGGAGGAGCGCGAAAAGGAGGAGAATCGGCAGAGGGAGGAGGAAAATCGGAAGAGGGAGGAAGCAAGGAAGTTGGAACGCGAAAAACAAGAGGCGCGGGAGCGGGAGGAGGAAGAGCGGAAGAGGGAAGAGGCGAGAAAGATGGAGCGCGAAAAGGAGGAGAAGCGGCAGAAGGAGGAGGAAGAGCAGAAGAGGGAGGAGGCGAGGAAGGCGGAGCGCGAAAAGGAGGAGAAGCGGCAGGGGGAGGAGGACGAGCAGAAGAGGGAGGAGGCGAGGAAGGCGGAGCGCGAAAGGGAGGAGAATCGGCAGAGGGAGGAGGAAGAACGGAAGAGGGAGGAGGCGAGTAAGGTGGAGCGCGAAAAGCAGAAGCAGCAGAGGGAGGAAGAGCGGAAGCGGGAGGAGGCGAGGAATGTGGAGCGCGAAAGGGAGGAGAATCGGCAGAGGGAGGAGGAAGAACGGAAGAGGGAGGAGGCGAGAAAGGTGGAACGCGAAAAACAGGAGGCGCGGCAGCGGGAGGAGGAAGAGCGGAAGAGGGAGGAGGCGAGAAAGATGGAGCGCGAAAAGGAGGAGAATAGGCAGAGGGAGGCGGAAGAGCGGAAGAGGGAGGAGGCGAGGAAGGAGGAGCGCGAAAAGGAGGAGAATCGGCAGAGGGAGGAGGACGAGCAGAAGAGGGAGGAGGCGAGGAAGGCGGAGCGCGAAAAGGAGGAGAAGCGGCAGAAGGAGGAAGAGCGAAAGAGGGAGGAGGCGAGGAAGGTGGAGCTCGAAAAGGAGGAGAAGCGGCAGAGGGAGGAGGAAGAGCAGAAGAGGGAGGAGGCGAGGAAGACGGAGCGCGAAAAGGAGGAGAAGCGGCAGAGGGAGGAGGAAGAGCAGAAGAGGGAGGAGGCGAGGAAGGCGGAGCGCGAAAAGGAGGAGAAGCGGCAGAAGGAGGAAGAGCGAAAGAGGGAGGAGGCGAGGAAGGCCGAGCGCGAAAAGGAGGAGAAGCGGCAGAAGGAGGAAGAGCGAAAGAGGGAGGAGGCGAGGAAGGCGGAGCGCGAAAAGGAGGAGAAGCGGTAGAGGGAGGAGGACGAGCAGAAGAGGGAGGAGGCGAGGAAGGCGGAGCGCGAAAAGGAGGAGAAGCGGCAGAGGGAGGAGGACGAGCAGAAGAGGGAGGAGGCGAGGAAGGCGGAGCGCGAAAAGGAGGAGAAGCGGCAGAGGGACGAGGACGAGCAGAAGAGGGAGGAGGCGAGGAAGGCGGAGCGCGAAAAGGAGGAGAAGCGGCAGAGGGAGGAGGACGAGCAGAAGAGGGAGGAGGCGAGGAAGGCGGAGCGCGAAAAGGAGGAGAAGCGGCAGAAGGAGGAAGAGCGAAAGAGGGAGGAGGCGAGGAAGGTGGAGCTCGAAAAGGAGGAGAAGCGGCAGAGGGAGGAGGAAGAGCAGAAGAGGGAGGAGGCGAGGAAGACGGAGCGCGAAAAGGAGGAGAAGCGGCAGAGGGAGGAGGAAGAGCAGAAGAGGGAGGAGGCGAGGAAGGCGGAGCGCGAAAAGGAGGAGAAGCGGCAGAAGGAGGAAGAGCGAAAGAGGGAGGAGGCGAGGAAGGCCGAGCGCGAAAAGGAGGAGAAGCGGCAGAAGGAGGAAGAGCGAAAGAGGGAGGAGGCGAGAAAGGTGGAGCGCGAAAAGGAGGAGAAGCGGCAGAGGGAGGAGGAAGAGCAGAAGAGGGAGGAGGCGAGGAAGGCAGAGCGCGAAAAGGAGGAGAAGAGGCAGAAGGAGGAAGAGCGAAAGAGGGAGGAGGCGAGGAAGGTGGAGCGCCAAAAGGAGGAGAAGCGGCAGAGGGAGGAGGAAGAGCAGAAGAGGGAGGAGGCGAGGAAGGCAGAGCGCGAAAAGGAGGAGAAGCGGCAGAAGGAGGAAGAGCGAAAGAGGGAGGAGGCGAGGAAGGTTGAGCGCGAACAGGAGGAGGCGCGGCAGAGGCAAGAACGGGAACGTAAGAGATCCGAAAGCGATCGCCGAATGCAAGAGCTGCGAAGGCTAGAGCGCGACAGGCAAGTGGCAAGACAAATGGAGCAAGCTGGTGAGTATCACGATCTGGAGCGTCAGGGGGATCGACGGGAGGAGAATGAGCGGCGTGGGATGGGGGGCGCTCTGCCGAGGCACGAAAGGCAGAGAGAGGTTGCTGGGTTGGGTGAACATGGTGCCGGAGGGCAGCGGGGGCGCGATGGAACTCGTCACACAAGCGAGGGCCAGAGGGGCGCGAGGGTGTTTCAAACGCAAGCGGGGCGGGGTGCAGGGGAAGGAGCACGACACGTGGTGGTTGGCGACCAGCCAACCGATGGGCAGCAAGGGACGACGTTTCGTCGGGCTGCGGAGGTGGGTCCAGTGGGGTTGGGAACTGGCGGTCCTAGAATGGTGATTCAGCGGGATGGTGGCCGGCGTGCTGATCAAACTGCTCGGAACAGGGTTGGCGAGGGAGACCGTAGGAGGCTTGAGCAGTCAAGGCAGCCAGGTCGGCGAGAGGGTGAAGCGCGTCGTACGCTACAGGGTGAGAGAGTTGCGGAGGAGCAGGTCTGGCGTGGGGTGGGATGGGCAGTCGAGAGAGGACGAGTGGAAGAGGAGCTGGAGAGTGCGGCGAGCGCGCTCCCTGTTCAGCGGCGCCGTCCACCTGCGGCAGAGAATCCGGCCGCGGTGCAGGCAGAGGAACTGGAGGAGGGTGAATGGGTGGCTGTGGAGAGGGTACTTCAGGAACAGGAGAATGCTGGGCCCCGGGTTTTCGAGGAGACGGCGGGTGGATTTGAGGAGGCCGGCGACCGCATCGCAGCTAGCGGCAGGGTGCAAACGACGTCAGAGTTGATGCGTCGTCTGACGCTGGTTGCGAGGTCCGTGGCCCGAATTTCGTCGGAGCAAGGTGTCCGCTTCAGCGAATACATGGCCGAGATTCGCCAGTTTGGTTCGCAGATGCAGGGATGGGACGTGCGCTACATGCAGGACTACGACGATCTAACGCACGAGTACCACATGCTCAAGGATTCAGTGGTCCGAGAGCGCGAGGAGCTCGTCCAATTGCGTACTGCTCTTTCGACGTCTGCCGCCGAGGCACGAGTGGCGGCAGCTGAAGCAGGTCGCGCAGCAGCCGCAGTAGCTGTTGGACAATTGGAGGAAAAGTTAGTCGGGTTTTTCGATACGTTTGGGGAGAAGTTGGAGCACGCGATAGAGGAAGTGTCAAAAGGGGGGAAGCTGGAGGCCACGATGGCACCCACCACCATGGATCATCTCAGGAAGGTTTTTGACAATAGTGTATACGAAGTGTGGGAGGATCTCAGAACTGCGGACGACGAAAACCAGCTGACTTTCAAGGCGATTCAGAAGGCACTGGCAGGATTGGGAGCAAAACTCAAAGGGCCGGCTGGTCCCATAAGGGTCGAAAATCCCCCCGCTGCCAAGGTTGTTGCCACACCAAACCCTTCGCGAACGCATGCCGAACCAGATTCTCCGGACATCCCGATTTCCGCTGCACAAAAAGTTATGGAAAGGTTTGCCGCAACATCCGAGGGTGAGGCGGGTGAGGCGGGTGGGGCGGGAGAGGCAGGCGCTGGTGTGGCAGATGTTGACCTGTCTGGGCCGGTGAGGAGAAACTGGAGAGAGATGATTCGGGTGAAGGAGTTGCAGAAAGAGAAGGACAAGGAAATAGTCGAAAGGAGGGCGGCCGATGCGCGGAAGCGGTCTGCAGTTCAGGCGGCGCAAGCGACGGCTGCAGAGAAGAGGCGAGCCGTGGGTGGGGTGGGGAATTCGAGCAGGGAGAATCGGTCTGGGACTGTTGTTAGCAGCGGGAGAGCGGCAGAAAATCGAGCGGCGAATACAGCCGTAGAGGCTGGAAGGTTGCGTGCAACCCTGGTCGAGAGGAGGAAGGCGGAACAACGCAAGAAGGCTGAAGAGGACCGCAAGCGTGCACAGGAGGAGAAGGGGGAGCGGCAGGATAAGGCGAAGGAGTCAAAGAGGTTAGAGAAAGCGGCTGAGGAAAAACGCAAGGCGGAGGAAGAGAAGAGGGTGCGGGAGGAGCAGGCGAAGGAGGCAGAGCGGTTAGAGAAAGCGGCGGAGGAAAAACGCAAGGCGGATGAAGAGAAAAGGGTGCGGGAGGAGCAGGCGAAGGAGGCAGAGCGGTTAGAGAAAGCGGCGGAGGAAAATCGCAAGGCTGAGGAGGAGAAGAGGGTGCGGGAGGAGCAGGCGAAGGAGGCAGCGCGGTTAGAGAAAGCAGCGGAGGAAAAACGCAAGGCGGATGAGGAGAAGAGGGTGCGGGAGGAGCAGGCGAAGGAGGCAGAGCGGTTAGAGAAAGCGGCAGAGGAAAATCGCAAGGCTGAGGAGGAGAAGAGGGTGCGGGAGGAGCAGGCGAAGGAGGCAGCGCGGTTAGAGAAAGCAGCGGAGGAAAACCGCAAGGCGGATGAGGAGAAGAGGGTGCGGGAGGAGCAGGCGAAGGAGGCAGAGCGGTTAGAGAAAGCGGCGGAGGAAAATCGCAAGGCTGAGGAGAAGAGGGTGCGGGAGGAGCAGGCGAAGGAGGCAGCGCGGTTAGAGAAAGCAGCGGAGGAAAAACGCAAGGCGGATGAGGAGAAGAGGGTGCGGGAGGAGCAGGCGAAGGAGGCAGAGCGGTTAGAGAAAGCAGCGGAGGAAAAACGCAAGGCGGATGAGAAGAGGGTGCGGGAGGAGCAGGCGAAGGAGGCAGAGCGGTTAGAGAAAGAGGCGGAGGAAAAACGCAAGGCGGAGAAGAGGGTGCGGGAGGAGGCGAAGGAGGCAGAGCGGTTAGAGAAAGAGGCGGAGGAGAAACGCAAGACGAAGGAGGAGAAGAGGGTGCGGGAGGAGCAAGCGAAGGCATTGAAGGTTGCCGAAGAGAAGCGGGCGGAGGCATTGAAGCTGAAAATGGAGCTCCAGGCAAAGCGTGAGAGGATGCAAGCACAAATGGAGGAACTTGCAAAGTTAGAGGAAGCTGCAAAAGAGGAAGAGGAGAGGCAACAGAAAAAGTTGGAGGCGCAGAAGGAGAAGATGGAAAAGGAAAGGCAACAGATTGCGGCCGAGGACGTGGAGGGGGCACAAGGGCAAGGGCAGGGAGGAGACGAGATTCTTACCGTGGTGGTTCCGACGACCGGGATTCTTCACGTGATTCCTGCGCACCATGGACAGCCACTTGAATTTGTGGATCTGGCGGAGGATGCTGAGTCAGTGGACCGGACTGTCCACGCTGATTCAGACTCCCAATTGGCATCGAAAAAACCTCGCAGAAATCAACTAGCGCCCAACAACAATGCAGAGGCGGAGTCTGAAAATGCTGCAGCGTCAGAGAACGAAGTGGAGGCACGTCGCTGGAATCTTGCAACGGTGTTGGGAGAAGCGGTCGAAGATGTGGCGGAAAAAGCAGGGATGCCTGACGCACTGACGTGGGGTGTTACCAAACACTTCAAAAAATGTGGGCTTTTTGAACGCGAACGGGAGCGGAAGGATAAGACGAAGGTGTTGATATTCTCGTCGGAGCAAACGGTTGGAGGGAAGAAGAGAAACATGGGGAGTTACAAGGAGAAATGGCGCCGTGACTTCACCGTAGCCATCTGCTGGATGGCGTACTATCCCGAGACCGACATGCTTCATTACGGGATGGATCCCGTCGAAGTTGGCACATGGGATCCCTACCTCGAACTCGCGCGTGAATTGCCGACTGGAGTGTGGAGCGTGCTCAACCACATGGACATGGACAAGTACGAAGAGTGAGTATCCACGATTTACGTGTCCAGCTTTCGAGTTTTTTAAACCACTGATGTTTTTCTCCGTCACACTTCTGGCAGCTTCAAGAATGTATTCGAGAAAATTCAGGCATGCGTAACACGCGGCGAGCACTGGGAGATCGCGGTTTGCGTGGGGATTGGACAGGCGGTCGTCCATGGCAGCACTGATGCGGAGTCTCCCCCCACTGGTGTCAAGTCCGCGGTGTATGCAGCTGGGGTGGCCGCATCTCTGTACACCTTGTGGGCAGCTTCGACCGGCATTCCGATGACTGACTGGGAAGATGGTGCCGCAGCGGCTGCCCGTGGGACACTGGCCGATCCAAGCCTTGCGAGTCGAGCAGCCTCGGTTTCTCGCGCTGGAATAGAGGCTTTGCGTCGAGTTAGGGAAAGCGTGCATGGTCGGAACGAGTGGGATGGGGTTCTTAGCGGAGTGATACTCGGCATGATAGATCCCGTACCCAAGGATGAGCCGGAGGTTGGTAGCCTGGCGAAAGTGGTTGCTCGGGTGTTGGTGTATTGGTGCGACTGCAATTTGGCAGCCGCAGCAATTTACGCGTACCAAGGGGGTTTGCTCAACTTTGCCCAGGGCGCACGAGGGCAGAAGCGAAAGGCGACTGATGGTGGCAAAGCGTGAATCGAGTGCCCCTGGGATGTATCAAGAGCTTTGCATGTTTTGCTTTATTGGAGAAAGTTAGGCGTGAATCTGGTATTGACTGCAACTTGGTGTTAAACTAGCACACTATTGATTTCGAAATATGATTCTCTTCTTGCTTAGATTTGTAGTCTGCTGCCAACTTTGTATTTCGAGGCATTCACGACCCGCGGGAATTTCCACCCACACGCGGGAAGTTCAGGGATTCGACCTGCGGGAATTCCCACCCACCCGCGGGAAGTCCAGGAAACCTACCCGCGAAAATTCCCACTCACCCGCGGGAAGTCCAGGGACACGACTCGCGGGAATTCCCACCCACCCGCGGGAAGTCCACGATCCCAACCCGCGGAAATTCCCATCCACGAACGGAAAGTCCAGGAAACCAATCCGCGGGAATTCCCACCCACCCGCGGGATGGATAGGAGAAACCAATCCGCGGGAATTCTCACCCATCCGCGAGAAATCCAGCTGCCCAATCCGCGGGCATACAGGGAAACCCAGTCGCGAAAATACTTATGTGCCATCCAGCGGGAATACCTAGAAACACAGCCGCGAAAGTTCTTGAGTACCCATCCGCGGGTTTTCAATAACACTAGGTTATTATTTCCATGCTCTAGTGTCTGTATAGATGAGGCAATTGTAACCTCAGGACGCGGGTGCTCGCCTGTTCCCATGCCCGTGTGCGTTGTTGAACAAACGTGTTCCAACAATTAGTACAACTCGTAACTTGTGTTTCTGACAAACAAAACCATTTAACGTGGAATCAACCTACACGAGTCCAACCAAACAAACAACACACACTAGCTTAAGCAGCATCTACTAAGCCGTAAAAGAGAACCCGCAGCACAACCACCGATTTCCACCGCCATAACTACGAAATTCTCAGGCCAACTCCTCGTTGCTCTCGGATGCGCACAACATAATCGTGTCATTTTCGTCGTCGTCCTCAGCATCGTTCTCTCCCTCCTCGCCCTTCTTACCAACCTTCTCGACCGCCTCCCCTTTCTTGCCTTTCCCACGCGTCCCCCTCTTTTTCGCGGATTGACGGGCTTTCTCGCATTCGAGGTAAAGGCCCACGCCTTTCGAGGATGGCCACGCGGATCCATCGTAGTTCCAGTTGGCCACGACCTCGACCAGCAGGGGCACGCAAACGTGGACTGTCTTGTCTTCCTGATCCGCGTATACACTCAGCACACTCTTCTCAACAGATGCCGAAGACAGCATCTGTTCGTCTTGCCGCTTCCGGATTGTCGCGTAGACGTCTGCCCAGCAAGCTTCCAAACAAGATAAATCATCCGCGCTCGCACCACACAGCTTTGCAGCGGCCGAGGCACTCTGGAGCGCAGCAGCCCGATGCTCCGCGGTGACCCATTCGAAGGCCGTTTTCGCACCACCTGTCGTGTTACTGCGATTGAAGGCCGAGGTGAAGCTCCACATGGCAGCACAACCGAACGCCAACGCGCCCGCATATAGCGCCTTCTGTGCTTTCCCTTTTACCCGCGCCGGTTCGTCATCCGCGGCCTCAAGGCCAATTGCAGCACAAATCGCGGAGTCGACCGTTGGCTTCACCTTCGAGTCTAAGAATACGCGAGCTGTCTTGAAAATGTTCAACAACCTGCACGGAAAATCACTTAAGAGTGTTACGACCCACGTTTGGAACGGCGAAAACAGGCGCGGAAGGCCTACTTACCGCTTGTGATTCGCGGCAAGTTTCCTGATGAAAATGATTGCGTAAAGTCCAGCGGTCATCTTTCGGGCGAGATCGAGATCGGGTGTCCACTCCTCCTCCTCCTGGTCCGTTAGCATCAACTCAGACCTCTGCACGCGGTCGTGCCACACGGTCTGTGCCACCGCTGACAGATAGCGCGCGGGCCCAGCACGCGAAAACGAGCCGAGATAGAAGCGCTCGCCACCATGATGAAGCTCAACGGAGAAGGGGTTTTTTTGGGCCGGATTAAAACGAACACCGACCATCGGCGTCTGTTTGATCTCGGCACCCTTCGAGTCCCCCCCCTCAGCCCCACGAACAGCACCTTTCACCGCAGCCCGCGCCGCAAGATATTTCCTCCGCGCCTCCCTCGCCCCGGCCTCCTCGTCGCCAACAGATTCTTCCGCGCCCTCCTTCGTGCCAGCCGCTGCAATCGCCGGCCTGCCAGAAGCAACAACAGCGTCCTTCGTAGCAGCCACGTCAGGAGCGGCAGCTTTCGGGCCAGCACTGGTGATACCACCAGCACTCTGGGATCCCGATCCGCGGGATGCACGGGGTCAGCAATCGGCCCAGCGTTACCCCCGATGTTCCCCATCACTGCCCTCAGAATCATAGCCCCCGCGCCCGCTCCACGCTCCGCCGCCCACGCCACAGAGTCTTCGATGCCGACAAGCTTGCGCGAAACCTCCGTGCGGGTCCGCTCAGCGACATCGTTGATCGCGGAAGTCACCAGGGTTTTCAGATCCACCACAGTCCCCTCAACGCGTGCAAGTGTGCGCTCGGCCGTCTCCCTTTGCGACGTGGCATTCGCCCTCTCCACACGGATCTCCTGGACCGCGTCAGCAACATCAGCGCGCCCGCGCTTATCAGATTCGTCGATGCGGGCTTGGATGCGGCTCATGGTTAACATCCCGCGCTCAAATGACTCTTGGTTCTCCGACACCCAACCCATCAACTCCGACAACTTCTCCCGCTGCTGTGCCAACTGCCTTTCCTGCGTCTTGGCCATGTCCTTCCCCCGACGGACGTCGGCCTCGAGACGCATTACCTCGTGCACAAGCGTGAGGTGAGGCAAAGCAGACAGCTTCTCGAAAGATCGATTGCCGCTCTTGCGTGGCCCCCTTCCGACATCATCACTGCCACCGGGACGCCCGGCAACCTCCCTTGTCAATTCCTGACCGCGGGGTGGACTAGCCTTGTTTGCGGAGTCGGCGCCAAGGTCCTTTCCCACGGTGCCCGCGGAAACGTCGTTTTTTTTTTCCGCGGCATCGACCTCCCTGTTGGCTCCCGCGGCTGAATCACCCGCAACCTCGGTAAGATCAGTGTTCTCGCCAGCAGGTCTCTTATTCGCGGGTGGTGGTTCCGTTGGGCCCGCACTGGTATCGGCTGCGCTGTCCGCCTGGAAGGCCGCGTGGGCGGCCGTTGCGCGAGCGCCCGAAGTCCGGCCCACCGCGGGCTCGGTTAACACGATGTCGACGGCCAGCTCACCCGCGTGCTTGACGATCCTGTCCCGCAGGGACTTCAGAGACTTCGTCTTGGCGGCACGTACAACAGTCAAACGGTTTGCAGACACATGATCCCAATCTGCCAGCAAGCGTTGGAACCCGTAGACGACAATCAAGCCGCTCTTAGCGTTCGGATCGGTGACCGGGGTCAGGTCCTGCGAAGAAAATAGTAGGAAAAACAACATGATACAGATGCGAGGAGCACGACCAACACAAGTTCCGCGTTTCGAGGGAGCAAGTCCTCACCATCCACTCGCGCTTCAGGTGCGGCACCCGCGAAAAAACCCGCTTTTTCAAGTCCGAAGCCAACTTCTCAGCTGCTTTCTCAACCATCCGGCCGAACCACCTGCGGGACCGCGCAAATGACACATGTTAACAGCAACTACTGGGCGGCGGAAGATTCCAACCCTAAACGAAACTCACCGAACCACATCGTCCGCCAGCTTAGCCTGTCGATCTTCGCCGCACACTGACTCGATGTGAATAATCCGCGTTCCGAAGTTCTCCTGGTCGGACGAAGCGAGGTCGTCGGGCCGAATGACAACCAGGATGCTGCAATGACAACTGCCATCGTCCATACTGCGCGCGACAAAAACAGAACATTGATTGGCATTAATTTACCGCGAGTGCATACAAAGACAAAACCCGCGAAAGTCAACACCCACCTAGACCACATCGGAAACACAGCGACAGACTTGGACAGCAAGTCAACATTGATACTGTCCTTCTTCAACAGCGGTACAAGGTCCTGACTCGGAAACACGACAGACGTCCGCTCCAGCGGCGGAGGATGCTTCGCAAGCACATGGCTGTTGAGAGGACGCAGAATAGGCCACGTAAGAGTCATCAACTCGAATACGCTTGGAAAAAGCGGGAAAAAGATGCACGCGAAAAATATCACTTCGTTCTTTACGTACAGACACGCGAAATCAAGGCACTGTGCGGAAAAGTCGGCGTCCTCGTTCATCAGGATGTCCTTGTTATCGCCTGCAAGAGCCACAGTTGCGCCACCAGCCTCGATAACAACGTCGTGCCCCTTCAGGGCTTCCATGGGGTCCACGAGACTCCTGCGTTCGCGAAGCATTCTGCACGCGCAAAAGAGCTGGTGACTATAGCGCGGGGAAATGCAACAAAAAAACACACCCGCGAGATCGAGAATGTGTGAAATATACGCCACGCTGCCACGATCCCGCGGAAATGTCAGACGCGAAAATTGTCGGAGAAAACAATGACGCGAAGACATATTAGCAAAAAAAAACTGCACAAGATCAGGCATCCGCGTTGGACTTCCCGCGCCTATAAATTTGAGCCGTGCACACCGTGTCTTTGAGTCTATCAGGTCTTCGTGTCTAACTTTCAAAGTGAGCACGCATACCTTCAAAAACGTTGAGGCAGTGGCCTGGCTGAGGGTTTGCGCAGAGTGGGCGGAGTGAAGAAGCACAATGGAAACGGAAAACAAAATACAACAATGAGGCATGATAGCCTTTTATACCCACCTCCGGGCCTCGTGCCCTCTGCCTCGTGCTGTGCACCTCGGGATCCGTCGGCTCCCATGCACAAATGGGGTGCTTTGAGTGGGTGCCACGTGTTCACCCGCGGTGTAACATCGCGCATAACCTTCGTTCGTATAGTTTACAATTCCGAAAATAGGTCTACTATAGGGGTACATCAGCATTGACGTGGAGAAAGAGTTAGGGAAATGAATTTACACCAAGTGAGCACCAACTCTTCGTGTTTCTGCGTCGCCTGACTACTGTGTGTTCATTCTACGCGCATGCATCGTATGAGCTTTACTTAGGGGAACAAATGGGGGGGATGAAGAAAATAATGAAAGAAAGCATGCTGAGCATCTGGAGCGGTCACAGCCTGGGGTGTCGCTTGCAGGGTGATTTTTTTCGTTCCCCCGCATTTAAGGGCTATTGCCGCGTGTTTTCCGAATGGGGACCAGGTGAGGCTAGCCAGGCCACTTCGAGGCCCGGACCGGGCCTTGCAGGCTCGCGAGCCAGGTGGTCCCCGACCCCGTCACGCGAGGGTGTGTGCTGCGCCACGCGGTCCCCGAGCCAGACCGCAGACTCGGAGCTGCGTCAGCCTGCTTCCCGCCCCCGACAGGCTGGCGAGCTCGGTTCCAGTCGGTCGTGGGCAGCACGCGGAGTCTCGCGTTATACCGAGGCCGCTACCGGGCACAAACCTAAGCTATCTACTGAAATGTTTTGGTGGAGTTTTTTAAAAAGTTGTTATCTGTTATCCAGCTTGTACAAACCGTTTGGTTTTTCCGAATAGATAGAGCTCTGCATTATCGTGTTTTAAAACCACAGGTTCAGAGAGAGGTTCCTTTGAACCCAGGTGTTTTCAGCCCTAGTAATCTAAACAGCACTAACATGAGCTTAGTGGTTTCGATCACAAGCGTCACACGGATAGGTTTAGGAGGTTTCGACAAAAGTATGTCGACCAGAAAATAGTAGAAAGACGAAAAGGAAGGACCAATGTCAAGAGGAGTAAAAAAGAGGTCCAAGAACGGATGCGCGCAATCATGGATACGAAGAGTGGTAGAAAAAATGGGGCAACCGATCACGTAAGGAAACCTCTGTAGCGTGAACTACTTCTTCAGTTTAGCCAGCTTCTTTGGCTCGTCGATCTTGATCTCCTTCCAAACATCGTTCCCAAACATCTTCTCTCCCCACGCGTCACCTTCCATCTCGGCGGCGAAGAAGAGGTACCCGACCTTGCGGCGCTTGTTCTCCGTCGTCTTGTCCTTGCCGGGATTATCCCTCTTCGGAGGTGGCTCGTTTCTGAGAATCACGCCATCCGCCAGAGCGCTGATCGAACTCTGATCCACCACGTCCTTCTGGATCTTCGCAATGGCATCTCGGGTGGCCTCCTCCGATTCATTAGCCCTGTACTTCTCGACCGTGAGCATCACGTTCCTCATCCGCTTCATTTTTTTGTCGCCAGTGTCGTCCTTCTTTCCCTTCTCAATATACGAGAAAGTGGGGTAGAAACTCTTTTCGGACGACAGCTGGCGGAGCGTCTTTCCGTCCATCAAAAAAGTCACCTTCACCCAGTGTTCCCATGCCTCTGCGACCGTCTCCGAGTCCCGCCAGGGTTTAACAACAAGGTCGAAAAATGCCCGAACTGGAGTGCTGACTTGTGGCTTCGGAGCCACTCCACCAGCTTCCACCTTTGCCGACGCGCTCGTCCCTGGACCTGCAGCCTCTGCGTTAGCGCTGGTCGGGGCATGCGCCTTCAGAGCAGCCAGCTCCTGTTTGAGCTGCTCGAGTTCAGCGGCTGTATTTTTCTCCCTCTCCTCGCTTGCAGCGAGCTTGCTCTTCAGCTCTCCAATCTCGTGATCCTTTTGACCACATTCAATCCGGAACAAGTTGTTCTCTGCGAGGAGCTTCTGGTACTTCCGCGTAGAGTTGAGCTTGTAGATCGCATCCTGCGGAAAAACGTACGAGGGATTTCAGACATTGTCAGTCACGTCGAAATGGTAGGGCCGATCAGAAAACTATTGGACTTACAGCGGCTGCAGAGGTGCCCCTGGCTTCACGAAGATCAATGCCAGCCTTGTGCATGATTGCCACTTTGATGGCCCATTTCTGGAACAGATGGTGGCGGCAGAGCGGATTCATCTCCGTGTACGGGTGGCGCTGGCAGTCGCATGGTCGTCTTCTACCGTCGAACTGCTCGTCGTGATCAGGGCAGTAAAACCACCACATGGCAAGGTCCTGTGCCACGATGTCTCGCCCCGGGCTTGCAAGAGCCTTCAAAAAACTTCTGCCAGAGTGGTGCGGCTTATCCGGATTGTCGCTGTTGTACTTCTCGACCTGAGAAAATAGAACAGAGAGAACATTCAGCTCTGCCAAGCGCAACAAAATTAGACACAGCAAAAGGCTGGCTAATGAATGGATACCTTTGCCAAATCAGACTCGAGGTTCGGGAAGATGTGCTGCTTGAAGAGGGCTTGCAACTGTTTCCACTCGGTGTCGTTGTCGAGTTTAGCGTGCGCTCTGCCAATGTAGTAATCTCCCGGCTCCCCACTGAATCCGGCCATCATCAAGACCGGCCAAAACGGAATTCCCACGACATAGGATTTTCGCATCTCGCCCTGTTCCCAGCCGCCGAGAGCGTTGATGTCGGGGTCGGGACAGCGATCGTCACTCAGGCCTTGGGCTCCCGACCGGCGAAACGCATGGGTCTTTTTGCTCATCCGCCAGGGCGGTTGAGCTACGTCGTTCATGACCCAATTAATCCAGTTGTTGTGAGTCACGTACGGAAGCTCTTCCTGCAGTTGTTCCCTTCCGTGCCTCAATGGAAAAAAAATGTGCTTCTTTGACCACTGGAGGGGGTCGCTGAAGTCCAGTGGCGGAACGATGTCCGTGCCGAATCGCAGTGGCACGAGGTCGTAGACGAAATGGATCCACAGAAAAAGGCCACCAACGCCGCAGAGCGCGAAGTTGATGTGACGGGCCAAGAATTGGTGGGTCAGCCTGTTGGTCGCGTTCGTCTTGGATTTTCGAGATGCGAAAACCACAACAGGGAGATCCTTCTGGCGGTCGGGGACGGCCGTGCTGCTACGCGTCTCGCGGACAAACATGTTGGCGAATCGAAGAGCACGAATGCTGCATCCCCTCCCCAACATTTGGTGTGCGAGCTGAATCATCACCTGCACCGCAAAACTCCGCCAGAGACTCTCTGATAGTGCAACCCTGGCTCTCTCGTAGCACAATTTGATTTCCCTCAGAAAGTGCTTTTCGTGCAGGTCCGCGTACTGCTCCGCCGTGTAGCAATCGTCCAGAGAGTTTTTGTGTTGATCCTTGCCCTCCCTGCATAGACCAACGTGGAACGTGATTAGCATCGATTTTTCGAGAATCTGTTTGGCCAAGAAGTGTGACAATACTCACGCAACCTGCTTGTCGTGCAGCTGTTTCAGCTTGAGCTTCATGTACTCCCGCGCTTCGCCGATGTACTCATCTGCTTGGGACTTCGGGTACTCGTAGAGTCGAGCTTCAAGTCTGCCTAGGAAGCCCAAGGCGCTCATCTTTGCCTTCATCATGCTCGGCGTACTAGGGATGGGCTCGTTTCCAGCCAGCACTTCCGCGCCTCTCCGCATCATTTCGGCCTGCGCGGGGGTTTCGTCTGCCATGTACCGCAGGTATCTCTGAATCCTCCATCCAGAAACACGGGGCCCGTGGAGATAAACTTCATCGAAGTCCGCGGTTGACCACGCCGCCTTTTTGTCGTCCCCCAGATGGCTTCCAACCTCGTCAGGCGTCAGCGGGTTCAGACGCTCCTCCACCGGAACCTCAGTCTTGGGCAGCGTTGACATGAACATGATGACCCACCACTTGTAGTGCATCCAATACAGAACGTAGTCTTTCCTGGTTTTCGGCGCGAGATAATCGTAAGGGGTCTTTGCGCGGCGTTTCCTGCTGGCCACGTCGGCTTGTTTTCGAACTGACTCGTGCGTAGCTGATGCTGGCCAATCTGCATTTCTCTGAGACGCGGCCTGCGATGCTTGCCCCTCCGCATTTCCCTGTGGCGCAGCCTGTGGTTCTTGTCCCCCAGCATTTCCCGCGGGCGCAGCCGGCGATCCGACACCATGTGCACTTCCATGCGACGATGCCTGTGATTCTGGGCCGTTCACATTGCCGCGGGCCGGCTCCCCAAAAAGACTTCGACTGGTGGCATTATCTTCAGAGGTTGGACTTCGGCTGGAATTTTCCTCCCAATTCTCCTCAAACAACGCTCGGTGGGGGTCGTCGTCATTTTCCGCGAGGTCAATGAACACCCCCCTCGGAATTCCGCCCCTCGGATTTCCGCCCTCAGCCACATTTCCCTCGACCCCGACTTCAGGGTTCGAGGCCGGAAATTCCTCCTGAGCATCCAAGAACACATCCCCCCCAACAGCTGGCTCGAATTCCCTGTCCGCATCGCGGTCCCCGGTTAGATCAATCGGGGCATTGGGCAGCTGGCAGTCTGGGAGATCTACATACTCCTCATTGAGGTCGAAAGCTGCGCTAAGAAAATTCCCGTACCACCTTCGCACGCCATCATGGTGTACCTGTTTCAGAGGACTGTATGCTTCACATGTGCGCGAAACCTGTCCTGAAACGCTTATTTTCGACAAGCGAACTCTAAAACGCCTCGTCGGGAATGGGATGGACTGCCAGCAAGCCCAGGAGAATGTTGTGCTGAAAAGAGTCTCGTAATCGGAGTTGTTACGGGGAAAATAAACTATAGATGTGACCCTTCTGAGTGGAGAACAATGATCATCTGAAACGGATGTTCTATTCAGAGTTCTTTACCATCTCGAAAATGCCCTCATTTTACAGAGTACAAAAAAATATTGCGCGGGTTCAACCCTCCGCGTGTGTGCAATTCTGAAAGAAGCAAGGTATCACGCCATGTTGGATTGAAGGTATGAACGCAAGCAGGCTGATGATCTCAAGAAAGATGTGGTGAAGTTTGAAGAAGGAATCAAGAAATGACAAACAACAGAGAGCTATTTAAGCATTCTGGGACTCAGCCACATGAACATGAGCACAACAACCTCTGACTGCATCCCTTCTTCCCGCCACAGCTTCTCTAGATCTGGTCGCCAGACCCCAGATCTGGGGTTCTTCCCGCCTCTGACAGAGCACCCGATTGGCTGGCTCCTCCACAAGTGCGTAACTCTGAGCCACGCCCCTCCCGCAGAGGACGAGTGACGCTGCCACGTGGACAACGCTTGGCGCGAAATCGTAAATCTTTAGTACACTTAATTCTGTATATAGACCCACAACTAGGGTCGTGGCCAACATAAAAAACTTAGAAAAACAAGCTTAAAAAGCTCGGCCAATTTTACGAAACCGGTAAAAGTACCTTGTCGCGATCGTAACATCCGGGAAAAAACCGTCGTCTAGTGGTACCAATTTGCTTTTCAATTCCGAATTCCCGGTTTCAATTGTTCTTCAAATATGAAATTTGAGGACATTTCGACTAGTAGCGTACAAAAGGGTGTACGAAGAACAGTTGTTTATCGTTAAGACACTGAAACAGCTATTTATCGTATTGATGTCGTGTCGAAAATTGCAACTGTGTTGGATCGGTGCACAAAAAAATTTGCCTTGTCACGATCGACGAAAGCCGCCCTGCTAGTCTGTCTTTTAGCGAATAGCCGTGGTACAAATTGCGTGCCCGACCACAGAATTAGCCTGACACACGTGCAAACAAAAAAACCCTCGAAGAAGCGTAAGATGATGTAATCTAGTAAGACGTGTGCAAAATAGCAAAAAAAACTCTGTAAACATACTTGTACATCGAACCCCAGTACCGAGTTTCTCGATACTGGGGTTTTCGCAAACTGGATGCGACGTGGTCGCACATATCACGTCGCAACCGTTTGCGCGAAATCTGGACGTCAATTGACGTCTGCACACTGACGATCGCGAGAGCACGTGCTTCGCCAACTGATTTGCACGCACAAATCTGCTCGGGCAGAGCACAGTTTCACGGGCAGGCCGAGCCTAGCCCTTGGGACGGTGGGGGTTGTCTTTTTCAGCGCAAGCTTGCGCCGCTTCCGCTTGGGTCGAGTCGAGCTCGACCCAAGCAGCTGGACCCACGTTTTTTCCCTGGCAAATCCGCTCGACCTGCGCCGATGCCAATATAACTTCCCCTGCCCAGCGTCATGCTGTTGCAGGAGCAACAGTCATGCTGTTGCGCCAATTTCTTCAGCTCATGCTGTTGCGCCAATTTCTTCAGCTCTTCCCTTCCACCCAGTCATCCCCATTCCCGTCACTTGCTCGAGTCTTGAAACCTTCCCATAAGCAACGCGCAGAGCAGAACATACGAGACACAGCGTCGCTGCTTCAGATATAGGAGCCCCATCAGGACCTGTCCTAAATAAGTCAGTCTTATAGTTCATAATCCATGGCTCCCTCGTACTTCGACAACCTGTCGGACGACCTCCTCTTATACATCTTCTGGCACTCCAAAAAAGAAGTCCCGATTCGTCGCCAATCCAAAACCCGCATGACTCATCCATCAGTTTCCATCTTGCCTCGACCGAGGTACTCCCCGGAAAGCCCTTACGGCGACGACCACAGCGAACTTAATTCGGATCCGTCCTCCGTGCAGCAGAACGTCGTATATACTACTACGGCAACTACTGATTGTACTACGCCGTTGTCAGCTCCCACCGTTCTAACTGATCCAGTCTACCACCTTCTCATTGCTTCCGTTTGCAAGCGATGGCGTCGCCTGGCTCGCCGTCAGGTTTCAATGCTCGTCGTGAAGGAAAACATCGTCGTGTCGCTTCGAGATCTCACCGCTGCAATCAACTGCTTCCCGAACCTCTCTCATCTGCACCTCGGCGACAACAGCGCGGAGACAATTAACGACGCGTTTCTAGATTTCATCGCGTCGGCATGCCCGAAACTTGTGTCGCTGCACGTGGGGAGAGATATCGCGCCGAGGTGGGACTGGGAGCGCGAGGACGAGCATCCCGTGACCGAAGCCGGTCTGGATCGTTTCCTGCGTCGCTGCACTCAGCTGCAACACCTCTCGCTCTACTGCCTGCATCGAGACGGCAGGCTGCCGAATTCGCTTTCGCTCCTTACGAGTCTACGCACCCTCGCTCTCACCGAGGGATCGCCTCTCGAGGCTCCAGGATTCACGGCATTGTCCTCTCTCACCGCCCTCTCCGTCGACATTCCAGAACCGGAAGATTTTAATCTCGCGGTCCTCGCGCATCTCCCGGCGTTCACCACGCTCGCGTTGTTCGACGAGACATGGCTGAAACTCGAAGGCACCGGTTCTCACCCCTTTCCGTTCCACCAGCTGCCTTCTCTGAAACCTGTGGAGTTCGACGCGAACAGTCCGCGATTCGAGTTGATGTTTCCGTCGGAAGTTTCGTGTAGCCGTCTCGAGCAGCTGCTTCTCAAAGACTGTGACGATTTGGACCGTCTCCCTGACGACATAGGAGAGCGGTTGCCACGCCTTCGGCATCTGAGCATCCTCGGATGCAAGAATCTTTCCGAGCTACCCGAGCAGTTCGCTTCTCTAAGCTGCCTGCGTGAGCTGACGATTTCCTCGTGCAGCATGGTCAACCTGCCCGAAAACATTGGAGAGCTGCCCTTTTTAAAAGTGCTGACGCTGAACCTCCTGCCAATCTCGAGTCTTCCGGATTCATTCTATCAACTGACGTCTCTGGAAACCCTAATCCTGTCCCACTGCAACGCACTTTTCGAGCTGCCTGCTAGTTTCGGTTTCCTCACCGCACTCAACTCCCTCTCAATCCTCAACTCGCCGTACCTGAAGCTCCCAGACGACATAGGCTCACTCACCAACCTCCACACCTTCCGTCTGACAGAGAATTTCCCCCAGCAGCTGCTTCCATCCTCGTTCACACAGCTCTCCTCCCTCACAAGGCTTGATCTCATTCAATGTATGGTAGCAGAACTACCACAAGACTTGGGGAAGCTGAGTAACCTACGAGAGTTGACCGTCCAATCCTGCTCTAAGATTCAAGCCCTTCCAGATTCTCTCACTGACCTTGTCCACCTGAAGGTTCTGAAAGCCGTGGACTGTGACAGCCTTGCTTCAATCCCCACCACC